TGCAGGAGGCAAGCTGGTATTTGAACAACCCAGTTAAGAAGACCATATGGACCTCAACTGTCAAGAAGACAATATACAATCACTGGAATAGATCAATAGTTCAGTTACAGCCATTATATAAAGGGCTCAATTTCTTAACAACTGAACATTTGAGAACCGGAAATATACACCCTCTACTCAAAATCAACTGCCACTCTACTATTGATACAGCAAGATTGCCAGTAGAATTAAAGCTGCTTACAGGCTCGTATATCCTTCAGAGCAAAAGGATCAGAATGTACAAAGATGAGACTGATCCGAAATGTCTGTTATGTGCAAAGGAAGAAGAAAATATAGAACACTTTATTTTGAAATGTGAAAGCTTGAGAATAGTGAGGAACACCATACTTCACGAAATAACTACAACGCTGAACGCAATGGGAATTCAATTTGATGAACTATCAACGAACGAAAAACTACAACATATTCTGGATTTAACGCCGGTAGCGAAAGCAAAGAAACTCTCTCCAGTCAGTGTAGTACAAATAGAAGGCCTTACTCGACGCCTGCTATATCAACTTCATATAGCCCGTTACAAGATGGTATGCGGATAGTAATAAATTTAGTGCGAGGTGACAATAAAATAAGCGATTCCGTTATCTCAACATCTATAAGGGCGTGGTTGGGGGAACCACATAAATTTCTGGAATCAAGTGAACTAAACTGTAAAATAAAGGATTTTACGCAAATTGTGTGGGGGTAGGACTTCAATGTAAATATGCGCACATCAGATATCGAATGGTGGAGGGAGTAACAGCACTGTATATAGATTGCACCCGAGCTGAGCATGTACATATAGTTAGATGTCCAATGGTGGAAGGAGAAGCAGCACTGTATATAAAGAGAGCACCTGTTCTACATATGAAAATATGGTTCCTCTACAAAGGGGGTTTAAAGATAAGTTAGATTACATTAGTTAAATAGAAATTATCTTGTTCGAATGAACTCGACATGTATTCGAATAAACATGGAATATGCATGTGAGTTATTGGATGGTTGTACTTGGCAAGATTCTGATCAACTAGAACAAATACTATTGGAAGCAGGAAGAATAATAGCTGGGTACCCAAGTATGCTAGTCGCGAAGGTATTTACTTCTAAAATGACCGGAAATAGTTGGCAGATAGATGACGGTATAGAAAGCTTTATATGTTCTTTATTTTATAGAATGTGACTGCCCCAGATTACCTTTGTGATTTAATGTCACCAATCGTTGGTCAGATATCTGATTATGATTTGCGAAATAGTAATCAATTATAGTTGATAATCATTAAGTATGTAGTACCCCACTATACATCATATAATAACAAAAAATAATTTTCCCTTTCTACAATGGAATCGCTTAAAACCCTGACATACGGATTTTCGAAATATAAATATATTAAAACGAAAGATGAAAACCAACACAGCCACCCTCCTATTTCATTTGGGGTGCAGTGGGAAATCTAGTAACAAAATATTACCTCCTCCTATAACTTGACACTGAAAACTAGATCTTTTAGCAAGGACGCTATCAATTATAAATTCACGGGAAAACGTTCTGGTAAATAATAAAAATAGATATAAGGGAGCTACCATTTGATTTTTATGGGGGGGCTTGGATGAAATTTGAAAAAAAATAGGCATGACAGGAGTTTTGAGTAAAAAAAAAGGCAGGATGAGACACTTGCAAAAAAAAAGTCAGGATGACAATTTAGGTAAAAAAAAGTCAGGATAAACTTTTAAAAAAAAATGCAGGACCGAAAAGAGTGAAAAATAAAAAGGCAGGACAGAGATTACAACTAAAAAAAAAATGCAGGACAAAATTTTTCATCCCAACCCCCCCCCCCCCAATAAAAATCAAATGGTAGCTCCCTAAGTTGAAATAAAAACAAAACTTCCATTTAATGTTATCATTACCCTCCTTAAATAGAAAACGGCGTGTACAGCAGACTAAATGAGCTTGGTGTAAAATTGGTTAAAAATGTTGCTATATGAATAAAACCTGCAGTACCATTTTCAATTTATTTTTCTACTAGCTGTATACCTCTCTAGAAAATGCTAATTATCAGTGTATATATGCAGCTTGATTAGAGATAGTCAGGGAAAAAATTCCAAAGGAATCGATTGATATGCAGCAAATAATGGCACTTTTGAAATTAAGTTAATAAGCAAATTCAAACGGACCTTATCCCGATGTAATCATTGAATGTGAATAGATCGAGAAGAACACAAATAAATGTACAAAAATTGAGACGACCTTTTCTTAAAATTGTAAAAGAAATAGTAAAAAGATGCCTACTTTATAGGAATGTTTATCTTTAATTTTTTAACCTGCGCAGACAGACTTTTATATTGTTATATTCATGAAAAGACAATATTTCTATATTGAATTTTCATGTGGCAAGATCAGACCAGTGTACTCGAAAGCGTAGAATGTGAAAAATTAGTATATTTTGGGAAATTGTAACATATGCTAAGGACTTTATGGAACACTCCAAAAATTGGTGACCGGCCCTTTGTACGAAGTGAGCTAATAATATTTGTAAAATGTTCTTGTTCTTGTATTCATCATTGGTCATTTGATTTGAGTTATGTACTTTTTCTGTAAAAGTAAGGTAAATGTTCTTTGGTTCGTTTGGAATTTCAACCAAAGATGAAGAACTGGATCTTCCATCACTGTATTGGATACCTAAACTACATAAATGTCCGTACAAACAACGTTATACTGCTGGGTCTTCCAAGTGCTCCACGAAACCTCTTTCTAAATTATTAACATCAATTTTATCAGCAATCAAAGCCGTGCTTCAAAGTTATTGTGAAACTATCTATTCTAGAGGTGGCGTGAATCAGATGTGGATACTAAAAAATTCCAAAGATCTTTTAGAGTACATACAATCTAAAACTCTTTCATCTTGCAATAGTATTAAAACATTTGACTTTTCTACACTTACACAAGTATTCCCAATTCCAAACTAAAAGACAAATTGAAAGAGTTGGTCCTGCTTTGTTTCATAAAAAAAAGGATGGCCAACGTAGATACAAGTATCCTGTCTTAGGGAGGGATAAATCCTACTTTGTAAAAAATCACTCTGATTCAAACAAAAAATTCTCTGAAACTGACGTTATCAAGATGCTTGATTTCTTGATTGACAACATATTTGTTACGTTTGGAGGACGTGTTTTTCAACAAACAATCGGCATTCCCATGGGAACCAACTGTGCCCCTCTTCTTGCTGACGTGTTTCTTTATTCATATGAGGCTGACTTCATACAGGAACTTCTTAGGAAGAAAGAAAAGAAGTTAGCAGTATCCTTTAATTTTACTTTCCGCTATATAGATGATGTTCTCTCACTAAATAATTCAAAATTTGGTGACTATGTTTAACGCATAAATCCCATCGAACTTGAGATAAAGGATACAACAGATACAGTTGGGTCTGCCTCATATCTTGACTTACATCTAGAGATTGACAGTGAGGGTCGGTTGAAAACAAAACTTTACGACAAAAGAGATGATTTCAGCTTCCCAATTGTGAACTTACCATTTCTATGTAGCAACATTCCAGCAGCGCCTGCATACGGAGTACATATCTCCCAGTTAATACGATATTCCAGGGCTTGTATTTCCCATCATTATTTCCTTGATAGACGGTTGCTGCTCACAAGGAAGCTATTAGACCAAGAGTTCCAGGTGAAGTTGAAATCATCCCTTCGTAAATTTTACTGACGCCATCACAAGTTTGTTGAGTGTTATGGAATATCCATTTCACAGATGATAGCGGGTATGTTCCAAATGTAGTAACTGCAATCCCGTCCCCTTTTCCCCGAAAGTGACCTACCGAATTAGACTTATTACTGGGTTTGTACTAACATGAGAAACACGACAGGTGCCACATGATCTGCTTACCCTTAGATCACCCCCAGTTTTTGGTGGCGTTCATGTTGCTCAGTCTAGTTTTCTATGTTGTGTTTTGTGTACTATTGTTTGTCTGTTGGTCTTTTCTTTTTTAGCCATGGCGTTGTCAGTTTATTTTCGACTTATGAGTTTGAATGTCCCTCTGGTATCTTCCGCCTCTCTTTTTCCTTGGTAGGCATCCATATAAAAATAAAAATAAGGAGATGTGGTATGATTGCCAATAAGACAACTATCCATCAAAGTTCAAATGAAGTGGATGTAAGCAAGTATAGGCAACCGTACTGCTTTTTACAATGAGAAAAACCCATACCCTATGGATACTATAAAAGGCCCGACATGAAAAATATGAAACAATTCAATTGAGATACCTAACAACCTAATTTATAACAAAACAATTTACGAAAAAACAAATATGACAGACATGAACCAACGACAACCACTGAACTACAGGCTCCTGACTTGGGACAGGCACATAAAGAATGAGGCGGGTTAAACTAGTTTGCCCCCCCTAACCTGGGACAGTGGTGTAACAGTACAACATAAGAACAAACTATAATTAACTGTTGACACAGAGATATGTCTCGCCTGTCGGCATAAAATTCAGAAAAAGACAATTCAATGAACATTAACATTGCTAATTAATTCAAAGTCGCCGGACCACAAACTAGTGGGCAGGGCCTCGAAATGGTCAACAAACTGAGATGTGAGGACAGTAATGTAACTTTATAGATAGTCATAATTTTCAATTGTAAGTAGTTTCTATCAAACTAACTAAAGCAGAAAACTAAACATTGAAAATTGCTAATTAATTCAAAGTCACTGGACCATGATTTAGGGGGGTAGGGCCTCAAAATAGTAATCTAACTGATATGTACTGATAGTAATGCAACTTCATACAAAATATCATTGATCTATCACAAGTAGTTCCTATCAAACTAACTTTAGCAGAAAACTTAACAACTGTTGACGCCATCGTCATCATCTCAGGAAAAGCAATCCCTATGTCTCGCTTACGGCGACTCTGGTCGCAGGCGAGACAAAAATCAGTTAAAAAAAGCTTAACTCATCAGACCAAATGTTTATTGGAGGTGTTTTTCCTTTTTAACATAAAATCAGAATAATTAGAATTATAATAAATTGCCAATTCTTCTTTATTTGCATTTATCATAGAAAATAAATGATATTTTTTATATTCAAGTTTCAAAAATGTCAAACATATAACTCATTAATCCATTAACTTATATTTATTTTCTGGATTGTTGTGGTTAATTGATACTAAGATCCAACTATATAGATGTTGCAACTGGTGCATAAAGTGCAATGTTTGAAATCGAAATTATGAATGGAAAAAACTTAGAAAAGAGTTCTGCCCACATGACAGTCAACACACGTATCTTGTTTTTTTCATATTTTTGCTAACATAAACATTGCTTCAAAACAATCCAAAGGAATTTTCAAATTGTACCTATTACAGCAGACATACTATGTACAGAAAAATTATGTAGAGGGCTTATTACATACCTTCTTTATTCATAACATACATACAACAGGTATTCAAAGGAAAATATCATTTAGCATACAAAATTAACATTTAAACATCAGATCATATTTAAACTTTATTTTTTAATATTGAAACAAACTATGAAAATTTCTTAAATGATCTTACATAAAAAATAGTTCCACCATAGATAATAGGTAGAAACAAAATAAATCTTTACACATTAAATATGGATACTATATAAGTTGAAATTCCTCAAGTACTGTGTATTTTTTGCACAGTTAGAATCTCCCAAGATTGTTCTGTTGACTCGAGAGGAAATAATGAATTTTCAAATTTTCATAAAAAATACCGTAAACTGTCTTATTCATAATTGGAAGATCACCTCAAAAGCACTTATTTATCATAAAAACTTCAGATTAATTACAGCAAAAACAATAATGAAAAACATTTAAACAGAAAATACTTTGTTAGCCTCTTTCTGACTTTTTACTCTTTGATCATAATGTATCATTTGTTTACAAAACAGGAAATGAGGCTGCTCCTTTATGAAGTTGTTTACTGACATTCAATATGATTCCAATAATCTAAACCATACATTATGCTGCCATTAAATCCAATACTCGTAAACTCAGATCAGACTATCAAATACATCAACTCGCTTTCGAGTCTCTATCTTTCATTGTTTTCCTCGCCATTTCCATTGCACCTTCATAAGTTTTATTTCCTCCAATAAATCCTGAAGCATGAACAAATATACAGCCTGGAATTCCACTCAGTTTTGAGAGGGCATCATCTCTTACACCTTGCCATTCTGATAAGAGTGATAACCTGAAATTTATAACAAAGATATTAAAAATTATTTGAATAATTTAATACTTACTAAAACAACTATTTCCATATTCAAATGCTGTGAGTTCATAATTATTGTTGAAATACTTCTTTTCATGGATTAAGTAGGTGTGAATGAACCATAACAATGCACAACGAGATACCAATTTTCTACAGACTGACAAAAAGGCAACGTCAGAATTTTTGATATAAAGGTCATCTAACGAAATCCAAACAATACCCTTTCTATTTTATTTTAATCAAATTTTGTTAGTAGGAATTAAGTTTTTGGTGGCTCACATCAGGATGAGAACATGCTGAAGTGATATGAACCCTATTTTGTACTAGACTGACATGCTGGGATAGTTCACAAAGTAACAGTTGGTAGGATGACATTTAACCCTATCCAGACACATTTTTCGAACACTTATGACCAGGACAATTGTTCTTAAAAACAAGAGTGGACACGCTGAAATGTCTCGCCTTCTTTACTAACCATTGATATTATGTTGATAGTCCTAAATGAAAGCTTTACTACAACTGTTACATAAACTTAACATGATCCAAGAAAATGAAGTCAAGGTCATATAAACCAAACGAGAAATACACATACACCTTACAATCATTCAATACACTAAATATAGTTGACCTATTGCTTATAGTTTCTAAGAAACAGACTTAACCAAGAAAACTAAACATTGACCAATGAATCTTGAAAATGAGGTCAAAGTCAGATGAACCATGCCAGGCAGACATGAACAGCTTACAATCCTTCCATACAACAAATATAGCTGACCTATTGCTTATAGTTTAAGAAAAACAGACTGAAACACATAAACTTAACACTGAGCAATGAACCGTGAAAATGAGGTCAAGGTCAAATAAAACCTGCGAGACTGACATGTACATCATAAAATATTTCCATACACCAAATATAGTTGACTTATTGCATATAGTATAAGAAAAAAGACCAAAACTCAAAAACTTAACTTTGACCACTGAACCATGAAAATGAGGTCAAAGTCAGATGACACCTGCCAGTTTGACATGTACACCTTACAATCATTCCATAAACCAAATATAGTAGACCTATTGCATAAAGTATAAGAAAAACGGACCAAAACACAAAAACTTAACTATAACCACTGAACCATGAAAATGAGGTCAAGGTCAGATGACACCTGCCAGCTAAACATGTACACCTTACAATCATTCCATACACCAAATATAGTAGACCTATTGCATACAGTATAAGAAAAACAGACCAAAACACAAAAACTTAACTATAACCACTGAACCATGAAAATGAGGTCAAGGTCAGATGACACCTGCCAGTTACACCTTACAGTCCTTCCATACACCGAATATACTAGACCTATTGCTTATAGTATCTGAGATATGGACTTGACCACCAAAACTTAACCTTGTTCACTGATCCATGAAATGAGGTCGAGGTCAAGTGAAAACTGTCTGACAGACATGAGGACCTTGCAAGGTACGCACATACTAAATATAGTTATGCTATTACTTATAATAAGAGCGAATTTAACATTACAAAAAATCTGAACTTTTTTTTCAAGTAGTCACTGAACCATGAAAATGAGGTCAAGGACATTGGACATGTGACTGACAGAAACTTCGTAACATGAGGCATCCATATACAAAGTATGAAGCATCCAGGTCTTCCACCTTCTAAAATATAAAGCTTTTAAGAAGTTAGCTAGTGCCGCCGCCGCCGTGTTAAAATTTCTCAAAAATTGTCTTTCAAGGGCATTAACTCCCTTATTAGATTTTCTGGATCCATTACAGTTTTCAAGATATTACACAATAACCAGTTGCATTTTACTCTTATGTTCTATTTTTAGCCTTGATTGTGAACGAGATATCTATCAACCAGAGGCCAAATGATAAGGATCTAACAACTGAAGGGCACTGTTAAGCCTTTCACAATGAACAAAACCCATACCATATAATAAGGTATAAAAGGCCCAAACATAACAAAATGTGAAACAATTCAAGAGAAGAGAAAGACCTGATTTAGACTAAAACAATAAACGAAAAAAAAAATAAGGCAGGAAGCAACAAACAACAACTACTGAATAACACAAGGCACCAGTCTAAGAGTACTTGTAGTTACTGAAATATAACATAACATTACTCTGACTAAACAATCTAATCTTTTTTAGGTTTAATCAATGTGACTGACAAAATATGTTTTGTTTATTAAAAATAAGATGTTTTGCAAACCTATTTTCAAACGAGCCAATCCTAACAGGAACACATTGAACTCTCCAGTTTCCATTACTATCTGCGTAAATGACAAATTTGATTGGCGGTGATATATTTTGTTCTTGTTCAATATCAAATAAGTGATCTCTCCAAGGACAGCCGCCTGATGACAACACCATAATCTCACCACTGGGATCTGTCTGAAATGCATAAAACATTATCAACAGCTGAAAGAAAGTTGGTTATCTCAAGTTTTTAAAATCATTTAAAAAAGTTCAAGATGATAAATAGTGTTAACCACATTGAAAAAAATTATAACCATATAAACATAGAAAACTTTATTTTGATTTGGCAAAGCATAAAACATACAAACATAAGCTCTGGTGAGCTTTTAAATATATATAAAAATGTATACAAAATAAATTAAAATAAAATGCTCTGCAGGGCGCAGCTTGATACGACCGCAGAGGTCGAACCCTGAGCAGTTGGGGCAAGTATGGACACAACATTCAAGCTTGATACAGCTCTGAATTTGGATTGTGATTAAATATTTGACACTGCATAGGTTTCTGACACAGAATGAATGTGGTCTAAGAACTTAAAAATTTTAAATTGGACATTCACCTATTATGGTCAATATCCAAAATCTAAATACATGGTTAGATTCAACATATCAAAGAACCCCAAGAATTCAATTTTTGATGAAATCAAACAAAGATTAATTTTGGACCCTTTTGACCTCAATGTGGACAAAGTTGATAACAGGGCCCAAAAATCAAAATCTAAATACATGGTTAGATTCAGCATATCAAAGAACCCCATTATTTTCAATTTTTGTTGAAATCAAACAAAGTTTAATTTTGGACCCCGATTTGGACCAACTTGAAAACTGGGCCCATAATCAAAAATCTAAATACATGTTTAGATTCAGAATATCAAAGAACCCTAAGAATTCAATTTTTGTTAAAATCAAACTAAGTTTAATTTTGGACCCTTTGGACCTTAATGTAGACCAATTTGAACACGGAACCAAAAATTAAGAATCTAAATACACGGTTAGATTCGGCATATCAAAGAACCCCAATAATTCAATTTTTGATGAAATCAAACAAAGTTTTATTTTGGACCCTTTGGACCTCAATGTGGACCAATTTAAAAACGGGGCCCAAAATCCAAAAACTTAATACACGGTTAGATTCAGCATATTAAAGAACCCCAAGAATTCAAGAATAAAACCCCATTGAAATTGGTCAAGAAATAAGCAATTTATACGAAGTATCTTCTTCTGCACAATACTGTGCAATTAAATATTTCTTGCTATTGCGCAATACTGTACAATTGACAATTTCTTGCTATTGCGCAATATTGTGCTATTGGATATTTCTTGCTATTGCGCAATACTGTGCAATTGAAGATTTCTTGCTATTGCGCAATACTGTGCAATTGAAGATTTCATGCTATTGTGCAATACTGTGCAATTGAAAATTTCTTGCTGTTGCACAATACTTATTATATAATAATTTAAACATCCTGTTAGGTGTGTATCTCCTACCATATCATTATTATTTGCTTTTAAATATAAATCAGAAATAACCAACTTAAAATGGAAAATTTTAAATGAAAAAAAAAAATGAAAAAAAGAAAAAAAATGAAAAAAAAAAAAAATCCCCCCCCAAAATTTTTTGAACCCCCTTATGATTCATCACCCCCAAACTCAATCCCAGCTTTCCCTTTGTGGTATGGTAACTTGCAGTACAATTTCAGAGAGATCCATACACTTGAACACAAGTTATTGTCTGGAAACTAGAAAAATGTGTTTTTTGGCCCCTTTTTGGCCCCAAATTCCTAAACATTTAGGGCAATTACCCCCAAACTGAAACCCAGCTTTCCCTTTGTGATATGGAACCTTGTAGTACAATTTCAGAAAGATCCATACACTTACACACAAGTTATTGTCCTGAAACTAGAAAAATGCTTGTTTTTTGCCCCTTTTTGGCCCCAAATTCCTAATATATTGAGGCAATTACCCCCATCATCAATCCCAGCCTTCCCTTTGTGGTATGGTACCTTGCAGTACAATTTCAGAGAGATCCATACACTTGAACACAAGTTATTGTCTGGAAACTAGAAAAAATGCTTATTTTTGGCCCCTTTTTGGCCCCTAATTCCTAACCATTTCGGGCAATTACCCCCAAACTCAATTCCAGCTTTCCCTTTGTGATATGGAACCTTGTAGTACAATTTCAGAAATATCCAAACACTTACACACAAGTTATTGTCATGAAACTAGAAAAATGCTTGTTTTTTGCCCCTTTTTTGGCCCCTAATTTCTAAAATTTTGAGACAATTACCCCCAAAATCAATTCCAGCCTTCCCTTTGTGATATGGAACCTTGTGGTACAATGTCAGAGAGATCCATACACTTACACACAAGTTATTGTCTGGAAGTTACAAAAATGCTTATTTTTGGCCCCTTTTTGGCCCCTAATTCCTTAACTGTTGGTACCATAACCCTAAAAATCAATCCCAACCTTCCTTTTGTGGTATTGAACCTCAGAGATCCATTCACTTAAACTAAAGTTATAGTGCGAAAACTAATGTGTCTTCGGACAACGACGCCGGACGATGACGCCAACGTCATACCAATATACGACCGCAAAAATTTTGCGGTTGTATAAAAAACATTATGCATCAGTGCACATACAGGGATCTCCCTGGCATTTTAGCTTGAATGGCTAAAAATGGATTTGTGGATTTTAGAGAAGCTAGAGACGCAATTTCCTGGGAGTTTTTTTATTATCTCAATACTTTTTAACAGTTAATTTTGTTTTTGAGGTTCATAAGTGTTTCTCGTTTTTTATATAGATTAGACCGTTGGTTTTCCTGTTTGAATAGTTTTACACTAGTAATTTTTGGGGCCCTTTATATCTTGCTGTTTGGTGTGAGCCAAGGCTCCATGTTGAAGGCCGTACTTTGACCTATAATGGTTTACTTTTACAAATTGTGACTTGGATGGAGAGTTGTCTCATTGGCACTCATACCACATCTTCCTATATCTATTTGCATATCCATTTATAAGTTTGAGTATTCACTATAATAATTATAGCTGACGTATTTTTTTAGATTATAAAACAAGTATTATATCTTTAATTTTGATGCTTCAGTAATTGTTCTGTAAATATTTTTTTCAAACACTCGTGACTGTATTCTGTCAAAAAGAAATTCAAGATTTCCTTAGATAAGAGTTTGTGGAAGAAGATAATTTCTTCTTATTGATTTGTTAGTTTCTTATAGCTCAAGGAGAAAAAATCAAAAAGTTAAGATGTAGAGGATAAATTAAATATCATAACAGTGTTAGCATGTTGTTTTGACATGATTTTAACACATTGATGGTCAAATGACATTCAAATCAAACGCTGCATTGATTTTGTCAAAATATTGTTCAGGATTCTTGTATTTCATTGTATTGCTGAAGAAAATCAAAGATATTACAAGTGACAAAATATACTGGAATGGCCAACAGAGACGTGTTTCGCTTCCCTACATGACAATAATCCCAAACATGACGACCATGTCGTAGTTTGTTTTGCTTAGACTGGGCACTCATTGTTACATAAGTAAGAGGCAAGTTTTAATTGATTGTGTCATTTCAACTCCTTTGGAAAATCAGAATGGGACATTTTAATAAATTTTGAGCCAATGGCGCAGGGCCCGGTCCCAAAGGGTTCTCTGACATATAAAACATACAACTGAATAAAACCAAGCAACAACCAAAAATTCAGATTTCTAGCAATCTTGTATAAAATTTTTTAAATTTATTAAAAAATCTAAATAGACAATTGACAATAAAATGCACCGCAGGGCGCAGCTTGATACGACCACAGAGGTCGAACCCTGAACAGTTGGGGCAAGTATGGACACAACCAATACACGGTCATATGTTCCGGACATTTGTATAATGTCCAGTAAAAGTCCGGCTGGGCAAAGCATGAAACGGTCATCTACTTTTTAGTTTATAAGGCTTTCTTAAAAGACGGTCATTTTAACATAATTCGCGATCTTTTTGACCCAACCTTTTGCCTTTAACAGCCACACATTTCCAGTCATAAAAGTGACATGATCATTAAGTACTATCAAAACAACCCCTACTTTAATACCTTCTCATTTTAATCAACTTAATTAGTTGTCGAACAGCTGAAATTTACCTGTTCAAGTGACAGGTAAACTATTTTGAACCGGACATTGATCGGTCTATTCAAAGTTATTTTCTTACATTTCAGCAGTTTGCATCTAATTAATTTAGTCAAAAAGATTTAAATTATCAGAAATACGTTCACAAATATGATTTGAAAAAAAAATTAAAAATGTGAAAATAAAAAATCGTCATAACCACATTGTTTGAACTAGTACACGTGTGCGCATGTGCGCAGGTGTGAAATTTAATTATGCATCCTAATTTCTTCAAAAAGTGCTTAAATTGTCATTGATACCTTTATCTCACATTTATTTCGAATATTTTCTTGAAGAAATAACGTAGAAAGAGCTACTCACACTCATTCATGCTTTGCAAATGTACACAGAATTTACGTCTCCGTCTCTGGTCCATGTTATACCATTGTCAAGATAACATCCGGAATAAGTTAAAAAAACGAAAGTAAAGTTTTTGACAATGTTATTTTGCACAAATAAAGAGTCTAAGGCAGATATAAGTACGCTGATGTTGCACACTTCGAATGATGCACTGCCAATTTAACAGTTTACGTCAGAACTTCGAATTTGAATCAAAGAAAGTTTAATATCGTTTTTTTTTAATGTCAATCATTGGGATGGCCAACTGTGCAACTGATTACCATAATTGCCTTTTGTTTATTTAGTCTTAAGGGATTAAAATCGGGATAATATATATAAAATGTCCGGCTGGCTAAAAATAATTTTGGAAGCCCTGGACACAACATTCAAGCTTGATACAGCTCTGAATTTGGATTGTGATTAAATATTTGACACAGCATAGGTTTCTGACACAGAATGAATGTGGTCTAAGAACTTAAAAATTTTAAATTGGACATTCACCTATTATGGTCCAATATCCAAAATCTAAATACATGGTTAGATTCAGCATATCAAAGAACCCCAAGAATTCAATTTTTGATGAAATCAAACAAAGTTTTATTTTGGACCCTTTTGACCTCAATGTGGACAAAGTTGATAACGGGGCCCAAAAATCAAAAATCTAAATACATGGTTAGATTCAGCATATCAAAGAACCCCATATATTCAATTTTTGTTGAAATCAAACAAAGTTTAATTTTGGACCCCGATTTGGACCAACTTGAAAACTGGGCCCATAATCAAAAATCTAAATACATGTTTAGATTCAGCATATCAAAGAACCCTAAGAATTCAATTTTTGTTAAAATCAAACTAAGTTTAATTTTGGACCCTTTGGACCTTAATGTAGACCAATTTGAAAACGGAACCAAAAATTAAGAATCTAAATACACGGTTAGATTCAGCATATCAAAGAACCCCAATAATTCAATTTTTGATGAAATCAAAAAAAGTTTAATTTTGGACCCTTTGGACCTCAATGTGGACCAATTTAAAAACGGGGCCCAAAATCCAAAAACTTAATACACGGTTAGATTCAGCATATTAAAGAACCCCAAGAATTCAAGAATAAAACCCCATTGAAATTGGTCAAGAAATAAGCAATTTATACGAAGTATCTTCTTTTGCACAATACTGTGCAGTTGAATATTTCTTGCTATTGCGCAATACTGCACAATTGACAATTTCTTGCTATTGCGCAATATTGTGCTATTGGATATTTCTTGCTATTGCGCAATACTGTGCTATTGGATATTTCTTGCTATTGCGCAATACTGTGCAATTGAAGATTTCTTGCTATTGTGCAATACCGTGCAATTGAAAATTTCTTGCTATTGCACAATACTTATTATATAATAATTTACACATCCTGTTTGGTGTGTATCTCCTACCATATCATTATTATTTGCTTTTAAATATAAATCAGAAATAACCAACTTAAAATGGAAAATTTTAAAAGAAAAAAAAAAGGAAAAAAAGAAAAAAAATGAAAAAAAAAAAAAAATCCCCCCCCCCCAAATTTTTTGAACCCCCTTATGATTCATCACCCCCAAACTCAATCCCAGCCTTCCCTTTGTGGTATGGTACCTTGCAGTACAATTTCAGAGAGATCCATACACTTGAACACAAGTTATTGTCTGGAAACTAGAAAAATGTGTTTTTTTGGCCCCTTTTTGGCCCCCAATTCCTAAACGTTTCTGGCAATTACCCCCAAACTCAATTCCAGCTTTCCCTTTGTGATATGGAACCTTGTAGTACAATTTCAGAAAGATCCATACACTTTCACACAAGTTATTGTCATGAAACTAGAAAAATGCTTGTTTTTTGCCCCTTTTTTTGGCCCCTAATTCCTAAAAGTTTGAGACAATTACCCCCAAAATCAATCCCAGCATTCACTGTGTGATATGGAACCTTGTGGTACAATTTCAGAGAGATCCATACACTTGAACACAAGTTATTGTCTGGAAACTAGAAAAATGCTTATTTTTGGCCCCTTATTCCTAAACGTTTCGGGCAATTACCCCCAAACTCAATTCCAGCTTTCCCTTTGTGATATGGAACCTTGTAGTACAATTTCAGAAAGATCCATACACTTTCACACAAGTTATTGTCATGAAACTAGAAAAATGCTTGTTTTTTGCCCCTTTTTTGGCCCCTAATTCCTAATATTTTGAGGCAATTACCCCAAAATCAATCCCAGCATTCCCTTTGTGATATGGAACCTTGTGGTACAATGTCAGAGAGATCCATACACTAACACAAAAGTTATGTCTGGAAGTTACAAAAATGCTTATTTTTGGCCCCTAATTCCTTAACTGTTGGTACCATAACCCCCAAAATCAATCCCAACCTTCCGTTTGTGGTATCGAACCTTATGGTAAAATTTCATAGAGATCCATTCACTTAAACTAAAGTTAGAGTGCGAAAACCAATGTGTCTTCGGACGACATAGGACGACGACGACAACGACGACGACCACGCCAACGTCATACCAATATTCGACTGCAAAAATTTTTGCGGTCGTATAAAAAACCATCAGCAGATCATGTGGCAAACGTCTCTATGGGTCACCTGACAGCATGTCACCAGTGGTAAAATATTATGTCTCCACCATACAACAGAGGGAAAATAATTTGCACAAAGCCCCTAATTTCAACAAAAATTCGTAAGGGTTCCGCGGAACCCAGTGTCTCGCCTACTTTTGCTGTTAGTCGCAGGCTCAACAAAAATGGGGGAAAAATTATTAAAAATTTTCCTCTAGATACTATCTTTTGATTGTAAGAAGTTCTGTTCAAGTTTGGTAAAAATCCAAGAAGGTTTATGAATCTAATAAATGTTTTAAAAACTTTAACTGCAGACTGTACATGCTGTACGTAATGTTAACTGGAATAAAACTAAGTCCATTTATTAGTAATATACGGAAAAACAGGAAATAAATTTTTACAAAATTTCCTTCTAGATACTAGCATTTGATCATAAACAAGCTTCTATCTAAGTGTGGTACAAATCCAGGATAGTTTAAGAAAGTTATTAAAATTTGAAAAACTTTAACCACAGAGTGAATGTTATGTTAACTGGCAGAAAAACTAAGTCCATATATGAGTAAAATACAGATAAACAGGATTTTCTTTTTTACAAAATTTTCTTCTGGATACTATCTTATGATTATAAACAAGCTTCTGTCTAAGTGTGGTACAAATCCAGGATAGTTTAAGAAAGTTATTAAAATTTGAAAAACTTTAACCACAGAGTGAATGTAATGTTAACTGGCAGAAAAACTAAGTCCATTTATGAGTAAAATACGGATAAATAGGATTTTTTTTTTTTACAAAATTTACTTCTAGATACTATCTGATGATCATAAACAAGCTTCTGTCCAAGTTTGGTTGAAATGCAGGATAGTTTTAAAAAGTTATTAAAATTTCAAAAACTTTAACCAGAGAGTGAATATTTGTGGACGCTGATGCCGACGGAATGTAGGATCACTATGTCTTGATTTTGCAACAAGAGTCGCCGGCTCGACAAAAATCAGCAGAGTGGAACCAAATGTATATTGATCTGTAACTGATCTCAGTAGAATCACATACTCAAAATCAGCACAATTTGTGAATGAATTTAGAAAAAAGTCTGTATAACTGTTTGTTGCTGAATGACGGAATGGTGGAATGACGGACAAGGGTGAAACTATATGGCCCGGACCTAAGTCAGTGGGGCCATAAACATTGACATTGAATTAAAGCTATCTGCATTTATTTTTCAAACATCAAATTTATGTTCTATGTCATAAATGTACGGTTGTTTGTTCAAAATGTTAGCTTTGCTTCTAGCATTTCTAACTATTCCTAAGTGTTTGGTACTATCATATTTAATGCATTTGTATTCCCAGCAACATCTTAATGGCTCCATATTTTTCAAAAACTTGCTTTTTTATTCTTTTAAAAATTAAAAAAAATCTATGGACATCACGTTCCTTCAAAATATTCATGTTACTCAAATGTTTTTAAATAATAAAATAAAAGAATTGACTAATCTTACTTTTCAATTGTGACCTAAATGTTGTTTTAATAATGAGTCAGTGGCAAACATCCTTGAATTGTGCTGACAAATATTTCATTAAGTACTTTAAAAAAATAATCACATGTGTTGAATATGAACTTACACTACAGTCAACCAGATATCTTGAATAATCTGATGATATCACTTTTAGTAGAAATAACTAATATTACAGATATAGTTTTTATATCAAAATTGTGCCAAATATATGGTATGAAATAATGCTCAAATGACTTTATGTAAAATCCGCTTTTTCCTTTTTTGGTTTTCTATTCATAGTTGAAGAACATATTTCCTAAACACTCAAAATAAAATATCAATGTTCTTTGTTATGAGTTTTCAAAGCCAAGTTAAAACATTGCTTCTAAATCAAATTACTGGTACCTCTTTTCTTTTCTCTATTGCATCAACAACCAACTGTCTAGCTGGTAACCAGGCTTTCTTGTAGTACATAACTCTGTCCATGAACTCATCTCCTACCACTCTCATTGCCTTCAGAAAACACACCTTAAGAAAGAAATTGTAAATAAATAAAAACACATAATATATGCACACATTGTTTTAAATCTTTAAGGTTGTAAGGGTCACTAGAACCTTTTGATGCTGCATTTTGGGAGTCAAATCTATTTTTAGGATTCACATTATTTTTAATGTTTTAACCTGTCCTATATCATGTATATTTAGGTTTTCTAGGCACAATGATATATATCTGTATAGTTTTTTTTTTTACAAATGTTGCATAGTTCCAAGATAAATGAAAACAATAATTTGATTTTCTTTGTATCATGTCTTTATGATAGTTGTTTTTGTGCCTTGTACCGATCTTTTGAGTTAAGCCAATTGCTACTGATTTTATAGTTTGTGCTGTTACAACACTGTCCTAGGTTAGAGGGAGGGTTAAGGGCTCACAAACATGTTAAAATTCACCACATTCTTTATGTGCCTGTCCCAAGTCAGGAGCCTGTAGTCCAGTGGTTGTTGTTGGTTCATGTTTCAATTTTTTTTTCCATAAATTGCTTTGTTATAAATGATGCCTCTGGTTGTCTCGTTGAATCGTTTCACATTTTCATGTTGGGGCCTTTTATAGCTGACTACACGGTATGGGTTTTTCTCATTGTTGCAGGCCGTACGGTTGCCTATAATTGCTAACTTCCACTTTATTTGAACTCTGGTGGATAGTTGTCTCATTGGCAATCATACCACATCTCATTTTTATATTCAAACTCAATACATGTGCATCTGGCTAAATATGCTGATCTGTCACCTTGTGAAAATTTCATTGTGTATATTTGTGTTTCTTTCATTGGTACAGTCGAACCTCGTTGTGTTGAACTCGGTTGCATCGAAAACTCGGATGAGTAGAAGTAATTTCCTGGTCCCAATAAACTTCCCTTTTGATCAATGCATTTCAACCTCTGATGAGTGGAACTTGGTTGATTCAAATTCTTGGTTAATTCGAATAAGTTGTATAGTCCAGTCAATGTAAAATCAATGTTAATTGACCCCAATGTCTCTAAGTTAGAAATTTTGAAAAATGCAGACAAAGATTAAAATTCAAAAATTGTTTTTCTTATCATTTTTATAAGTAGTTAAAGCTGTGTAAATATACTTGTTTGTTAAACAGTTAAAATGACATGTTTATGGTGACATGTAATTGATTCCTTTTTTGATTGTCCAAGCGGAACTTTAAGTGTACTGAACATATTGCAAATATATAAATTTTAAATGACCCGAGATTAAATAAAATTGTAATTTTGTAAATTTGTGAATGTTTTGTATCTGTACTTTTGTGTTTCATTATTATGATGGACCAAAACAAGAATGTGTCCATAGTACACGGATGCTCCACTCGCACTATCATTTTCTATGTTCAGTGGACAGTGAAATTGGGGTCAAAACTCTAATATGGCATTAAAATTAGAAAGATCATATCATAGGGAACATGTGTACTAAGTTTCAAGTTGATTGGACTTTAACTTCATCAAAAACTACCTTGACCAAAAACTTTAACCTGAAGTGACCAAAAACTTTAACCTGAAGCAGGACAGACGGACAAATGGATGGACGAACGGATGCACAGACCTAAAAACATAATGCCCCTAGGTGGGACATAAAAAATGGATCTTGAAAACATGGCAATCATAAATTGTCTTATCGAAAAAAGGCACACTGTTTAAAATATCTAGTATACACAAATCTCATACTGTATTTCAAACATTCTAAATTTCTGACGACACACTCGACCTAGGGAGAGTCTAACCTTAGATAAGTCAAATACTTTCATCTGGTCCTTTGGATTTTGACTTAACGAGGTTCGACTGTTTAAGATTTTTGTTTCTGAATCTTTATTAAAAAAAAAATTTGAAATGGTAAAATTTGCACTTAATACTTTTGCTCACGTTGTCCAAGATAAATCAGCTTTATTCGCTTTGCCATGCACAGTGAATGATATTTTTACAGCTGTCATTATTTTCATTGGTTTATGATTGCCTGTGACAACAGTTTTACTGAATTGGCCTTTTTGTTGGGTTATGTAGATTTCTGCTAGTAATCTTGTAATTATGTATGAGATCTTTCAAGTAAAGATTATGAACTGATTCAGTTCAGTAAAGAGTTTGTCTGGAAAATTGCACAAGAATTTTATTTGATTATGAATATGGTAACAGGGATCTCTGCTAAGAATATTCTTTTCTCATCAAAATGTATTACTACAGTGTCATGATGACCTTTTGGGATATATTTAAGGGGCAACAAGTATTTTTTATGTGTAACATATGCATAGAATTGTGTTTATGGAAATGTTGAAAAAAAAAATGAAACAAAACCTGTTTCATATGCATGGATAATATTAAAAGAGTGTCTTAACAAAATCTTTTGTCTGAAATTTATCCTAAAACAGGAATGAATTTCGTGAATCTGGCATAATATTTTTCAGTACAAAATGGCAATGTTATTGTAATTTTAACATATTTATTAGCATATTGAAGATGACCATATAAAGGATTACAATAGTCCATCTGTTTAAAAAATTCTTGCAATAACTCAAGTATGCATAAATGAAACCATACCGATATATTTTTTTATTAAAAAGACTACTTGTACCAAGTCAGGCTATATGAACCATGTTCAGTGCTGTCTTTGTTCAAATATAATTTTTGTCAGAGTCAAGTGATGGTGGTTGTTATGGCATGTTGTACTGTCTAATACTGTTGGTATATTGTTATCATTTATGTATTACTAAACCTAATGTTTGATGGCTTTGAATGATGCTGTATGAACAATTTAGTTCTTGACTTTATTGTAATCTGTTTTTTGATTGCTGAACTTTTGCCGTTGATACAATTACCTGATAAAGCTCAATCTAGTTAAGAAACATTTAAAGTTAAAATGTGTTCACATAAAATCTGTGATTTTTTAAACTACACCACTAAATAATGTATTTATTGTAATGTTATAAGTTTACCATTTCATCTGCATTTTCTTCATTCCAATTAGGATTGAGATTCCTTACTCTGTTGCTTAGTGTTGTTGTGATCTGATATCTAAAAGTATAACAACATATTAAATTAAAACCATACAGGTTAACCTGTTAAAGCTAAGAAGTGGGAGATCTCCTCTTTCCTAAAACCATACAGGTCAACCTGTTAAAGCTAAGAAGTGGGAGATCTCCTCTTTCCTAAAACCATACAGGTCAACCTGTTAAAGCTAAGAAGTGGGAAATCTCCTCTTTCCTAAAACCATACAGGTCAACCTGTTAAAGCTAAGAAGTGGGAGATCTCCTCTTTTCTAAAACCATACAGGTCAACTTTTTGAAACTAAGAAGTGTGAGATCTCCTCTTTTCTAAAACCATACAGGTTAACCTTTTGAAGCTAAGAAGTGTGAGATCTCCTCTTTTCTAAAACCATACAGGTCAACCTGTTAAAGCTAACAAGTGTGAGATCTCCTTTTTTCTAAAACCATACAGGTCAACCTGTTAAAGCTAAGAAGTGGGTGATCTCCTCTTTTCTAAAACCATACAGGTCAACCTTTTGAAGCTAAGAAGTGTGAGATCTCCTTTTTTCTGAAACCATACAGGTCAACCTTTTGAAACTTACAAGTGGCAGATCTCTTCTTTTCCAGCTTCACTAAAGGGGGGGGGGGGGTTTAAGTGTTGTGACCTTTTTGCATTACAAATTTTGTATTTAGATACAAAGTATTCAATCATTTCAATACAGACAGATATAAATTTATTATCTATACATGACCTTATTTAGTTAAAACAACATTATTAATGACCAGGGATTTCTTTTCACTCAAATATGCATTGTGTTTAACATAAAGTGAAAATAAGGCAATCAGAAATCTATCAAAACAACTCAAATGCTAAAAAGGTACAAAAATAGGTTGATTTTTGTTTTTTATCAAAGAGAAATATTTGACCTCCATTCCAGGTGTCAGGGTCAAAGGATTGGATGAGGGGTTTCACATTTTTAAAGGAAAAGGAGGGAGTCTCCCTCCTAGAACTGGTGGGTTGGCAGGTATGTTGAATCTTAAAAAAGTAACATCTTGAGCATGTTAAGCATACTTGCAATCCAAAACACCTCATAGCTCTCAGTGAAATCAGGTGCTCCGGAAAAGCTAGAATGAAAAGGTCTTTAGTCCTCCTTACCTAGGTTCACCATCAAACTGATTTACCCCATTGTCAATGGCATCAATTTCTTCAACAAAATGTTCATAAACTTTGTCAAAGATGGTCTCTGTTATTGGATCAGTCAGTCCCTTTTCTAAGATACTGGCTACAATGTCTTTCCCAAAGTGACAATACACAAGTCCAGCACTGCTCAACTTAGTTGTCCATTTCTTTGTTGGTAACAATGATTTCATAGTTTCTGTGAAAGTTCTGTAAAAAAGATAGGAAAATTTGTTTCTGGATCGAAGAAAACCCTTCGTACTTGAAATTCAAAGTCAGCAGTACCTGGTATATACAATTCTAATGCAGTTTGCTTGTAATCTCGATTTTGATAGGAAGATATCATATATTTTGAGGGAATAAAAGCCACAGTTTACCAATGTACATAACTAATGACTAACATGACTAAGGGAAGAGGCCATTCTTAATTCCAGAATTTATTGGTATGTGATTTCTTCAATACTAAACAAAATAATCAGATGACTCACCTGAAATTCTCATTTTTATCAAAATTTATTTTATTCTGAGTGAACAAAGCCTATAAAGGTCTAGGGTTTAAATTTGATGCAAGAAGCATATCTATGAGGTAATACCGATAACATTATAAGGTTCTAAAGACTTTCTGCAGAATTTTTGATTTATGAAATTGTTACACAAAAGTGGTGACCAAACTGAAGTCTTAATGGAATATATAATGCTTGAATTATTTTACATTAAAATGTAGTTTTCAAAGTTGTGCTGAACTAGAGGCTCCAAGGAGCCTGTGTCGCTCACCTGATATTTTTATTTACTATTGATGCATGAAATAATGCAACCGTTATACATTTGCTTTAGTTTCAGAGATATAAGTCAAAAACTGCATTTTCCCCCTAAGTTCTATTTTTAGCCATGTCTGACATGTTGGTTGGCAGGCAGGGTCATTGGAGACATTTTTTAAACTAGATGCCCTAGTGATGATTGTGGCCATGCAAGTATGGTTAAATTTGTCTCAGTTGTTTCAGGAGAGAAGATTTTTGTAAAAGATTACAAAAATTTACGATTAATTGTTAAATTTGACTTTAAAGGGCAATAACTCCTTATGGGGTCAATTGACCATATTGGTTATGTTGACTTATTTGTAGATCTTACTTTGCTGAACATTATTGCTGTTTACAGTTTATCTCTATCTATAATAATATTCAAGATAATAACACAAGAGTGCACACGCTGAAATGTCTCGCCTTCTTTACTAATCATTGATATTATGTTGATAGTCCTAAATATAAAGCTTTCTTACAACTGTCACATAAACTTAACATTAACCAAGAAAAATAAACATTGACCAATGAACCATGGAAATGAGGTCAAGGTCAGATGAACCATGCCAGGCAGGCATGTACAGCTAACAATTCTTCTATACAACAAATATAGTTGACCTATTGCTTATAGTTTAAGAAAAACAGACCAACACACAAAAACTTAACACTGAGCAATGAACTGTGAAAATGAGGTCAAGGTCAAATAAAAACTGTGCGACTGACATAAAGATTATAAAATATTTCCATACACCAAATATAGTTGATCTATTGCATATGGTATTAGAAAAAAAGACCAAAACTCAAAATCTAAACTTTTAACACTGAACCATGAAAATGAGGTCAAGGTCAAATGACACCTGCCAGCTAGACTTGTACACCTTACAATCATTCCATACACCAAATATAGTTGACCTATTGCTTAAAGTGTAAGAAAAACAGACCAAAACACAAAAACGTAACATTTAGCAATGAACCTTGAAAATGAGGTCAAGGTCAAATAAAACATGCCAGACTGACATGTACATCGTAAAATATTTCCATACACCAAATATAGTTGACCTACTGCATACAGTATAAGAAAAACAGACCAAAACACAAAAACTTTACATTGAGCAATGAAACAAGAAAATGAGGTCAAGGTCAAATAAAACATGCCAGACTCACATGTACATCGTAAAATATTTCCATACACCAAATATAGTTGACCTACTGCATACAGTATTAGAAAAACAGACCAAAACACAAAAACTTAACATTGAGCAATGAACCGTGAAAATGAGGTCAAGGTCAAATAAAACTTGCCAGACTGACATGTACATCGTACAATATTTCCATACACCAAATACAGTTGACCTATTACATACAGTATAAGAAAAACAGACCAAAACACAAAAACTAAACTATGTCCACTGAACCATGAAAGCAGTTCAAGGTCAGATGACACCTGCCAGTTGGACATGTACGGTACCCCTTACTATCATTACATACACCAAATATAGTAGACCTATTGCTTATAGTATCTCAGATATGGACTTGACCACGAAAACTTAACCTTGTTCACTGATCCATGAAATGAGGTTGAGGTCAAGTGAAAACTATCTGACGGGCATGAGGACCTTGCAAGGTACGCACATACCAAATATAGTTATCCTATTACTTATAATAAGAGAGAATTTAACATTCCAAAAAATCTGAACTTTTTTTTCAAGTAGTCGCTGAACCATGAAAATGAGGTCAAGGACATTGGACATGTGACTGACGGAAACTTCGTAACATTAGGCATCTATATACAAAGTATGAAGCATCCAGGTCTTCCACCTTCTAAAATATAAAGCTTTTAAGAAGTTAGCTAACGCCGCCGCCGCCGTAGCCGCCACCGGATCACTATCCCTATGTTGAGCTTTCTGCGACAATAGTCGCAGGCTCGACAAAAAAACTGCAAAATTTCCTTAAAATTACTAATTCAGGGGCAGCAACCCAACAACAGCTAGTCTGATTCGTCTGAAAATTTCAGGACAGATAGATCTTTAACTGATGAACATTTGTACCAACTGTCAAATTTGCTCTAAATGCTTTAGTTTCAGAGATATAAGCCAAAAACTGCATTTTACCCCTATGTACTACTTTAGCCATGTCGGCCATCTTGATTGGTGGGCGGGGTCATCAGACAAATTTTTTGAACTAGATACCCTAGTGATGATTGTGGCCAAGTTTGGTTAAATTTGGCAGAGTAGTTTCAGGAGAGAAGATTTTTGTAAAAGATTACAAAAAATTATGAAAAATTGTTAAAAATTGACTATAAAGGGCAATAACTCCTTAAGGTGTCAATTGACCATTTTGGTCATGTTGACTTATTTGTAGATCTTACTTTGCTGAACATTATTGCTGTTTACAGTTTATCTCTATCTATAATAATATTCAAGATAATAACCAAAAACTGCAAAATTTCCTTAAAATTACTAATTCAGGGGCAGCAACCCAACAACGGGTTGTCTGATTCATCTGTAAATTTCAGGGCAGATAGATATTAACCTGATGAACATTTTTACCCCCATGTCAGATTTGCTCTAAATGCTTTAGTTTCAGAGATATAAGCCAAAAATTGCATTTTACCCCTATGTTCTATTTATAGCCATGTCGGCCATCTTGGTTGGCAGGCGGGGTCATCGGACACATTTTAATAAAATGCTCCGCAGGGCGCAGCTTGATACGACCGCAGAGGTCGAACCCTGAACAGTTGGGGCAAGTATGGACACAACATTCAAGCTTGATACAGCTTTGCATTTGGATTGTGATTAAATATTTGGCACAGCATAGGTTTCTGGCACAGAATGAATGTGGTCTAAGAACTTAAAAATTTTAAATTGGACATTCACCTATTATGGTCCAATATCCAAAATCTAAATACATGGTTAGATTCAGCATATCAAAGAACCCCAAGAATTCAATTTTTGATGAAATCAAACAAAGTTTTATTTTGGACCCTTTTGACCTCAATGTGGACAAAGTTGATAACAGGGCCCAAAAATCAAAAATCTAAATACATGGTTAGATTCAGCATATCAAAGAACCCCATATATTCAATTTTTGTTGAAATCAAACAAAGTTTAATTTTGGACCCCGATTTGGACTAACTTGAAAACTGGGCCCATAATCAAAAATCTAAATACATGTTTAGATTCAGCATATCAAAGAACCCTAAGAATTCAATTTTTGTTAAAATCAAACTTAGTTTAATTTTGGACCCTTTGGACCTTAATGTAGACCAATTTGAAAACGGAACCAAAAATTAAGAATCTAAATACATGGTTAGATTCGGCATATCAAAGAACCCCAATAATTCAATTTTTGATGAAATCAAACAAAGTTTAATTTTGGACCATTTGGACCTCAATGTGGACCAATTTAAAAACGGGGCCCAAAAATCCAAAAACTAAATACACGGTTAGATTCAGCATATTAAAGAAACCCAAGAATTCAAGAATAAAACCCCATTGAAATTGGTCAAGAAATAAGCAATTTATACGAAGTATCTTCTTTTGCACAATACTGTGCAATTAAATATTTCTTGCTATTGCGCAATACTGTACAATTGACAATTTCTTGCTGTTGTGCAATATTGTGCTATTGGATATTTCTTGCTATTGCGCAATACTGTGCAATTGAAGATTTCTTGCTATTGCGCAATACTGTGCAATTGAAGATTTCTTGCTATTGTGCAATACTGCGCAATTGAAAATTTCTTGCTATTGCACAATACTTATTATATAATAATTTACACATCCTGTTTAGTGTGTATCTCCTACCATATCATTATTATTTGCTTTCAAATATAAATCAGAAATAACCAACTTAAAATGGAAAATTTTAAAAGAAAAAAAAAAGGAAAAAAAAAAATCCCCCCCCCCCCCCAAATTTTTTGAACCCCCTTATGATTCATCACCCCCAAACTCAATCCCAGCCTTCCCTTTGTGGAATGGTACCTTGCAGTACAATTTCAGAGAGATCCATACACTTGAACACAAGTTATTGTCTGGAAACTAGAAAAATGTGTTTTTTGGCCCCTTTTTGGCCCCAAATTCCTAAACATTTAGGGCAATTACCCCCAAACTCAAACCCAGCTTTCCCTTTGTGATATGGAACCTTGTAGTACAATTTCAGAAAGATCCATACACTTACACACAAGTTATTGTCCTGAAACTAGAAAAATGCTTGTTTTTTGCCCCTTTTTTGCCCCTAATTCCTAAAATATTGAGGCAATTACCCCCATCATCAATCCCAGCCTTCCCTTTGTGGTATGGTACCTTGCAGTACAATTTCAGAGAGATCCATACACTTGAACACAAGTTATTGTCTGGAAACTAGAAAAATGCTTATTTTTGGCCCCTTTTTGGCCCCCAATTCCTAAACGTTTCGTCAATTACCCCCAAACTCAATTCCAGCTTTCCCTTTGTGATATGGAACCTTGTAGTACAATTTCAGAAAGATCCATACACTTACACACAAGTTATTGTTATGAAACTAGAAAAATGCTTGTTTTTTGCCCCTTTTTTGGCCCCTAATTCCTAAAATTTTGAGGCAATTACCCCCAAAATCAATCCCAGCATTCCTTTTGTGATATGGAACCTTGTGGTACAATGTCAGAGAGATCCATACACTAACACACAAGTTATGTCTGGAAGTTACAAAAATGCTTATTTTTGACCCCTAATTCCTTTACTGTTGGTACCATAACCCCCAAAAACAATCCCAACCTGCCTTTTGTGGTATTGAACCTTGTGGTAAAATTTCATAGAGATCCATTCACTTAAACTAAAGTTAGAGTGCGAAAACCAATGTGTCTTCGGACGACGCCAGACGACGACGAGCACGACGACGACGCCAACGTCATACCAATATACGACCACAAAAAATTTTTTGCGGTCGTATAAAAACTAAATACCCTAGTGATGATTGTGGCCAAGTTTGGTTAAATTTCGCCCAGTAGTTTCAGAGGAGAAGATTTTTGTAAAAGTTAACGGACGACGACGATGGACGACAGACGCCAAGTGATGAGAAAAGCTCACTTGGCCCTTTGGGCCAGGTGAGCTAAAAATACAATTACTTTATATTCTGTTGGGCATATACAAATAAAAGTAGATGTGTCTGAGGACACGAATGCCCCCACTCAATCATTCCAATTTTCGAAATTAAAAAGGTACATAACTCTATAACGGTAAATGACTCACTGCCCAAATTCAAACTCTGTCTGCAAGTTTTGATTCTAAGCATTGTGTGTAAGTTTCATTAGATTTGGGTGAGTAAAACTTAAGTTAGAGTGCAGAAACAAAAATTGGACGGACGGAAAGTCAAGGGTAACACCTAATGCACCCTTGGCCTAGCGGTGGGGGCATAAAAATAATTTGATACCAAGGGACAAGGCAAAAGACAAACGTGATTAAACAAATCACAACAAAAATTCAGCCCATGAATCTATAAATAAACAGCTGCGCCATGAGCGCATGATACGCCCGTCATGTTTTCTAAGAATAAAATTAAATAACTTCTCAATGTCATATCAGAAATTTATGAAAAACTAAAGGGAGGTTATCTTAATAGATATAATCCAGGCACCAAAGTTTAATGAAAACTGCTCAAAGCACTTTAAAGGTATTGTCCGAAAACTGGAAAATCCCCCTTTTTTTAATGAATAAAACCCCATAACTCGGAAACGTAAAATCTAAAATTTCTAAAAATCTAAAGGAAGCTTACATCAATAGATATAAACAATTCACCAAAGTTTCAGGAGAACTGCTGAAAGCATTTTTGAGTTATTGTCCGAAAACTGGAAAATCCCCCTTTTTTTAATGATTAAAACCCCATAACTCGGAAACGTAAAATCTTAAATTTATAAAAATCGAAAGGGAGCTCATATCAATAGATAAAAACAATTGACCAAAGTTTCATGCAAATTGGGTAAAGCGTTTTTGAGTTAATGTCTGACATGCTGACGACGGACGGACAGACAGACAGACAGACAACAGTATACCATAATAAGTCACGTAAACGGGCATATAAAAACAATGGTGAATTAGAAAAGTATGACGAAAATATTTGTTTCCATTCAACAGGATGAAAAATTTAATAAAGATGATGACCAAATATGTAGTCATTGTGTCATGAAGTACTTGAGATATGTGTAATAAAAACGTTTTTTAAAGTTCATTCAACATATTGAAATATTTAAGGTATAAACATACAAGAAGTAAGTGTTGTACAGATCATTAAAGTGCTCACATGTTAGAACTCATAAATGTTAAGCTGCTGACCAAACATGAAGTCATTCTGTTTAGAGTTCCTGAGAAAAGTTTGACAAAAATATTTGTAGGACTATCAGACGGTCAACAGCTGGATAGACAAATGGACAGATGATTGCAATATAGCCCCACTTTAAGAGATGGGGTATAATTAAACAAAACAAATCTTGTGCTTTTTTCACTAGAATCTTATTTACTACTTTCTCAATGTTCATATCATCAAGATGTTGTATATTGCAAAAACTCATAAAAATGCCATGTTTAGTCTTCGTTTGTTTTAATTAAATTGTCCCTATGTCATGTATGTAAAGTATTCATACAAGTTACTTTTTTTGTTCTGTTTAACCATAAAAAGTGGAAGCACTGTCCTCTGGAATACAGATAACCATAAATTCACTTAATACAAAAATGTCAAATTCCTATGGAAGTACAAACAAATATGAACCACAATTGACAATAATTTTTACTTTTAAAATGTCGCTACTCTTGTTTTTCACCTTTTGTCACTCTGAATCCTCTAGCCCTGTAGTGCTAACAAAAATTTTGCCTGTTAACCCCTACTTTCTTTACATAATTTTTAAACATATAGTTTAAAAAGACATTTTTGAAATTCTTATAAAATGCTTGTTATTTTTTCATAGTTTTTGAAAGTAAAAAAGGTGCCAATGTTAAATGTATGAAAAATCTAGAGAAAATCATTTCCCGCCAAATTTTCAATGGATTATATCTAAAGAACAAAGGCATGAAACTATTTGCTTTTTATGTCCCTTTATCTATATACCATTAATTTATTATAATCTTTTAAAAATCTTGTTATTTTGAAACAGAGGATCCAACATCCTTAACACACTACATGCATGCATACTTATACATGTTATTATACAATTATAGCCTTTGTATGAGGTAGATACAAGATTATATCGACCTAAGAGAAGCATATGGACTGAGGACGAAGTCCGAGGTCTATATGCTTCTCTAGGTCGATATAACATCATATTGATCTCAACCAAAGGCTACAATTGTTATATTATTAATCAACAACTATTGCATGAAGAATGTAAAATTGGGGATTTCTAGAATGTATTTTTAGTAACATGCTGTATGCCCTGTGCAATAAGCTGTTTTTGACCTACAAAAAGCTAAACAAAACAGTCATGTCAGTATTGGCGTGCAACATACCTGTCAACTGACCCGTATCCTGCGGGTGACACCCGTAAATTTCACCCCCACCTGGGATTTTTTAAATACCCACAGGGTCCTTAAATAACCTGGCAATTCGGAAAATGACCTGTTTTCACCCGGATTCTTGAGCCTTTAGACTGATTTCATATGTGAGTTTCCTTTGAAATACCGGCAAATTTGTAATTTTCTTCCAGGACAGGAAGTTCAACTAGCTGTGTTAACTGTCAAATTAAGTGACCCATTAAGTGCATGGCTTCACTTGGAAGCTTTGGTGTCAAACACACTGTTAATCATAATTACCTTAGCTTAAGGTCATAAATAATTTGTGTATTTTTAAGTTGTTTGACAAAAAAATTTGAGTAACTTCTCCTATTTTGTCACTTTTCACAACATACTCCTTAAATTTATGATTTTTTGGGGGGTACACAGATTAAATCTAAAGCAAATTGAATGCAAATACATATCAGAATATTACTTTCTATTATTTTTCTACCTTAGGACAATTAAAAAATTAATATTTGAAAATATTTTTTTTCATCTCTACTTCCATGAAATGCTTAACTTTTATATTCAAATATCAACGACTCTCATGGAATACTAACTGCAGCTAAACCTTTAGTTCCATACTGTGAAACATGTTGCTTGTGAAATGATTTAATACTAAGAATGAAACATTAAAAGGGGTTATGGCCTCTATTTGATATAGTATAATACAGTATTAAATATGTCAATGGCTTATCAATGCTATGTAAAAATAAAATTAAAGTTTTCAATTATTTTCAGTTAATACTTAACCATGTGAACATGTTTTGGAAACTGTTCGATTTAAAATATAAAAAAATGTCCCCCAATTACTTAAATTCAGCTGAAAAAAAAGTTTGTAGGCGTTATGACCTTAGATTTTCTTCTTCAATGCAGGTCATGACCTGCATTTTCATTTTCATAAGTTGACAGGTATGGTGCAAATTGAGTAAATACAAATGTACATGTGATCAAGTTTTAACGAATCACAAATCCTTAAAAATATTCGATTAATGATATATATTAAATATGGTTTGATTTTTCTTGTTTCTCATAGGTTTATTTGGTTACGTGTTTTGTATTTTTTCATTATTGTGACATATTGACTCGATGTTACTATTTTTAGAAATGATATTGACACCATGTTACTAAAAATAGTAACATCGAGTCAATATCATTTCCAAAAATATTAACATCGAGTCAATATCATTTTCAAACTTACACTATTTACATATGTAATATAAAAATTAAGGACTTTCACTCAGTCAATATATATGGACCTATTAGATTATATTGAACCTCGGACTTCGTCCTCGGTCAATTTAATCTGAGCAGGTCCATATATAACGTATTGACCTCGTTATAAGTCTATAATTGATAAATATCTACATTAGACAGGCAAAGTGATATACATGATGTACAGACAGTAGCTTACTTCTGGTGATGATCATATCTGTTTTTACTTGGATCAAAAACTCCACCTACATCTACCACAATATCACAGGTATCCAGTACCTTCTGGTCCCTTGTTCTGAAAAATAGCATAAGTGTTAAAATATCAGCTGTCATGGCTGTGTCAGATAGAAATCGATCTTATGCAAACTAATATCTGACAATACATCTGTCATTCTGTTAACATACATGTATTTCGAGTTGAAAAAAAATATGTATGCAAAGTCTGTAACTGTTTGAAAATTGAGCTGAAATAAATACCCTACAAAACAGAATCATCTAAGGCCTTAAACAATGAGCAAAAACCATATTATACAGTAAGCTATATGAGGCCCTGACATGATGAAATGTGTTTAATTTATTTACCTATTCAGAATATTTCAATCTCACTAACAGTAAATATTTGGTTTGAGACAATTTGATAATTAATTAATGCCATGTCAGCCAGGGGTAATGCTTATAATACAAGTCATCAAAACAGGTAAATTTGCGAAATTTTAATTTTCTTTTCAAGATTTTAATAACTCCCCTATTAAACATGTTAAAACCTTCTCCAAAAATTTACTTATAAAGTATTTTTTATACAACCACTTTATTCTCAAGAACTAAACAAAGAAATCTACTAAGCACAGATGTTAAGTTACTGTGCAAGGCCTTCAAAAATTCCACTCCGAAGGCTTGTAAAAATAAATGAACAGTATTTTGAAGATAACCATGATAACTGACAAATGAGATTTTGTTTGTCTGTGAAATTATGTTTTGCTAATTTATAGTAAAGACAATAATCATGATAATGACAGTCAACAAAATACTCCATTGCACCTCAAATTGAAGAACTCAAATATAGTATGTAAACAAAAAATCTCTGTGCTGTGAGATTGCACATGTTCAATTTTTAACAAGTGACTAAGCTTAACCATTCGTGCTGATTTGGAAAGCAGAGGACCATAGAATAAAGGTGTAAAAACTATACAGTTATTAAAGGTATGCAAAGAACTAAATTTTTAAAGAACTTATTGTGAGAAAAAATGGATTTTTGACCTCAAGAGGCGGCATCACCATAAAGGGCTCTTCAGGTATACTAAATTATTGAAAAATTAATTTTACTTCACACCCCGATAATTTAACCACATTTGTGAAAATGTCTCAGCTTGATCGAAACGAGCTATCATACATATCCATGATTAGGATATGGGAAGAGGAATTGAGAAAAATGCTACCTTTACCGCCTACCTGAAATAAATTGCGCATATTGATCTAGTTACAGCAGTGTAGGCAAAAGAAATTCATGGAAAAAAGAAAATATGACTTATCTACTTATATTTATAAGAAGAGTTGTCTTTGTTAACATTTAAACACCATATAGCATTTACTATACCTGATTATTTCAGCATCTTTGTAAGTTGGCAGGTGTTTAAGTAAGAAACAAGCTAAAACTTCATCACAATGGAATGACCCATTGTGAGTTCCAATCTTCATTTCTATACAAGCTTTTTTAGCTGGAGGACTGGAAGTCATGTGTTTTGATACTGGTAGCCAGATACTCGTAAAAAGCAGTATCCTAAAAAAGAAAAAAAATAATAGGGCTGTCAATGCTGTGAGCAAACCAACCTGACTTGATCACCAAAAGCAGCATAACCAAATATGATGGACGGTAATGTTACTTTGGCCCCTACTTACAATGTGCATAATTCCCATGGCTATTAAATTATGAGCACTTTTGGTCCCTCATGTTGTTGATGCTTATATTTTGACATTGCCCAAGATCATGCTTTTCTCAGACTGTATTGTTTATGATGTCTATACTCAAAATCCATTGGATGTGTACTGATTGATATTTTAGTCTGGGAAAACATGGTATATTTATTTGTTGGAATTGGTTTTGAAATACCTTCAGTAACTACAAATACCCTTTGATTGGTACCTTGTGTTTTTTATAGTTTGTTTGAACTCTTGTATTGTGCTGTTATACCACTGTCCAAGATTATGGGGACAGTTGAGCGATCACAAACAATCTTTAAGCGTCTGTTCCAAGTAAGAATTGGTAAATCAGGGGTTGTTGTAGGTTGCTGTCTGCAAAAAATATTTGTCATTTTTGATTTCGGCATAAATCAGCTGGCCAATGGTTTTCTTTTTTGAATTGTTTTACATTTGTCATGTAGGTATCAATGATTTCTTTACAAATGATTTTTTAGACAGAATTGTTGGAAGCTTTCTTTTAAGTATTGAAAGGGATATTCATGCCAGTAGATTAAAAAGCCTCTTACGCAGTTAGGGCAACTTAACATAAACACATAGATGAATGCTTACATGAAAAACTTCTACTTCCAATTACAGTTAAAATGAAATTATGTTGCAGTGTTCTAGCTAGAAACTAAGACTACATTTATATAACAAACTTGGCCTATAACAAAATCAGCCTCACAATCTTGGCCTATAACATACCTTGGACATGTTGGACTAATACAGATTTAAAAGTTAAGTAAGATAAACCATGATATTTACTTTGTTTACAATTAATTGTCAATTAAACTGATACAATTGTTTATCTTTTGACAGATTATAAGAAAGAAATATAAACAGTCAGGGGACTTATTGAAATAAGTGATTTTTAAATCGCTTATCTAAGAAGCAAATTCGAACTTTTGTCACAAATTGTGATTTTGTAGTTTTACCAAAATTTTTAAAACACATACATGTAGGTTTAGATAACATCTTTTCATTAGTAAAATTGAAAAAAATGGAACTTTTTACTTCTTTTAAGCAGCAAGGTTTATGCCTTTGATGGAATCATTTAGCTGCAAATTCTATTTTAGTTGAAAAAATGAAATAAAAATGGCTTTACATAATGAACTGATACTTTCTTAACAGATTTTTCCCAGCAGTGGGAGTATTTTTCCTGTAAAATTCAAGGTTTCATCTTATAGATTATGTAATAAATTTCTACTGTTCGCCATCAAAATTTCACTGTTCCTGGGTGTTGAAATTAGTGGGGGTTATTAAAATAATGATACTTAAAGAAGGAAATTGAAGTATAATACTTAAGTGATTTTTATGTCATTATCCTAAATTTAGTACAAGGTTATCACCTGACATGACCTGGTCATCCTATCAACACAGATGTTGGTTCTGATAATATTAGCGACATAATTAGTCCCTGGATCATTAGTATTCTATATTTAAAGCTACAATAAAATTAAATCACTTAGTCTAGTGATTAATTTGTACTACTTAAATAGGTGATTATTAAAGAAAGACAACTCTTACTTCCAACCTTTATGGACATAATGTTACTTGAATCAGTGATTTAGAAAATCACTCATTTAAGTAAGTCCCCTGACTGATAAATGTGGTTAACAAGACAAAAAGAAAATTAAGACTTTGATCTCTTTTCTAGTTATTATTCAAAAGTTACTACTTATTTTCCTGTTCTGTTTCAATCTAACTAATCTAAAAGCCAGAACTTTTTTGCAGCCACATTTATGAAACGAAATATTCCAATGTTAAAAAATATAAAAAAAAAATATATGAAGTAAACTTAGATGCACAAAATTAAATATTGTTATACATGTGTTTATATTGAATAAAGGGAAAGTGTAATAGGAGAACACAGCATATTTAATATGAAACCTTAAGCATGTTAAATAACAATGAATAAGGGATAATGACTGCTATTGGATATCCTACTGTGAATATCTCTTATTTACTTTTATGCATGTTATATGGCTTTTTTTGGTAAACTGGTGTTTTAATGATTGGCGTGTGTATATATGCTTTTATGACATTGCATCAAAGCAAATTGTGAACATGTAGAAAAAGATAAAGTTCCTTGCATTTTCTGCTTTATTTCAACTAACATGACTAAGCACATGTACACTACCTAACAGGATTGATGGAGATGTGTCACTAACCTATATACAAACCACCACCAAGGACAAATCCCCAACACAACACCATGGGAGTATTAGGACCCAGGGAAGTCTGTTATTATCATGATTATGGTGGAGGAAGATGAAGTACTCAGAAAAAAACACCAGGTAACTTAGCAGGGAACAGAGGAACTGAAGCGATATCTGAAGATTGAACTAGTAAAAGTTGGGGGCCACTTTGACCAACCTAGCACAGGTACTTGTTTTCTATCCATGACAAGATCTATTATCCCTATATATTAAGTATATAGGGATAGAAGATCTTGCCATGGATAGAAAACAAGTGCCAGTGATATAGGGACAGTACATTATGTAGATCTTGCCATGGATAGAAAACAAGTGCATGTGATATAGGGACAGTAGATCTTGCCATGGATAGAAAACAAGTGCATGTGCACCGAGGCCATGAGGCTCCCAAAGTACCCATTCTACTTCTATTTTAAACTCATGTCTCCCCTGTCTACCCGGTCATTATGTTATCATAACCATGTTTCTGCAGACATTGAAAGCATAGATATAATAGCCATAGATAAAGTACTGAACCCACATCAAAAGCAGATGATATTTGCCGAAATTTTATCACCCTCTTATTATATACATGTCACGCTTGGTGTTAATTAGCCTTCATTGGCAATTGCCGTCTATCTATATCTAATAAATTGTGAATCGGGAGAGTAATATGTCATTCTTCGGACAAGTTCGGTAGTTATCGTTATCTTCCGGTACATCATTTTTTTGGAATGTTTATATACGTGCTTAAAATACAAGTCAAGAAGGTAATCGATGTATAATTACATTGTTCTTATAAGTCCTGAATATTCATCAAATATTTTCCACCGAACGTTGTGAAATCAACGATCATATAATAAATCACAGTAATAGAAAATACACAACTAGTTTCATACCAAACCAAAGAAGTTATAAAAATAAAGTACACAAAAAGTACGTTGACAACTAAACGGGCAGACTTACGGAGGGTTAAATAGCCGTATTTATAGTACGAATAACACCCCTAACACAATTCTAAGAAGGATATATATTGTTTACTTCAAAAATGAAATCTACAATCAGATTAAACCATCCGCTATTTAATTGCAAAACAACTGAGCAACGAAAAGTATTATATATATAAAAGAAAAAAAATCTGAGACATGATAATTGTGCTATTTCCCAATTATTTAATGTATTCAGTGTGTCCACCACTTACGTTTTCTTCACCAAACGGCGTTTTAAAATTTATAATGTATTCATTTTTTTTCTCTTTATTTTTCAAAAACTTCGTGTTACCGTTACGACAGAAAGTTTCAACACTTTTTTTGTGTTCTAAAATATAATAATTTCGTTTTTCTGGTCTAAAATGTGATTATACTGTTTTGGATCTCGATAAAAAAGAATTGTCTTTAACTCGCCATAGAAAAATTCGACCAGGTTCGACCTCTTAACCACGTATACCATCAGTAGTTGATATGTCTCCTCTTGTCAATCATACAGGTCTTATTTCCCGAGTGCAACCGATGCAAGTGCTATGGCAATTTAATTTTACGTGCCTGTTAATTCCATTTTCCATAATTTCTCTATTTTATTATTTCAACAACAGCATAACCTTTTTATTTGTTGACCGATTTTCTCCAAATAAATTACAATCCGAACAATTTTTACAACCAGACGCTTTTCATTGCTACCGCCTCACGGCATATTTTTACTTGAGACAGGTAACGCATATTAATTATCAGCTGATAAGACGCGTGCCCGATAATTTAAATATAATTATGATAAGAAATTAGTCTATTGGGAGGATGTCGGCAGATATCATCTACATCACAGGCCACTTCGCGCCGTGCCGTGTGTTTGATATTTCAAAGGAAACTACATGGGGCTCAGTGTGATATATTCTGAGTACTTTATCTATGGCTATTATATCTATGTTGAAAGTAACTTCAGTCTTCACATGAAAATTATGTGGTTTATAAATTTTGGCACAAACGAAACATAAAGACCTGTTTAATTATATAGCCTTATGTCTAAAAGTAACTAATTGATGTGGTTATTCGCTGAATTAAGTAACACAAATAAAATATACATAAAAAAAACAAAAGACCCACGCTTTCTTGCAACTGTGCATGGAGTAAAGTAAATACCAGATAGATATCGAATGGAGTAGATCCGAAAAAATTTGGATGTGCTAATCACATTCAACCTAATTCAGACACACATCAAATATGGGTTACACTAAAGACCTGAATAGACCTGAAGCTACTAAATATATTTACATGTACACTGTGATGTTTATTGTTGTAATTATCAATTATGTCAATCAATTGTATCTGATTTTATGCCCTTAATGGGCCCTGTAATTTGGGAAATAAAAATATTCAGAATTTCTATTCTATTCTATACGACACAAATTATTCAAATTCAATAACTCCTTTTTTTTTAATGGATTTTCTTCAAGTTAGAATTTTATGAAATGTAAAGATCAACATTTTATCAAAAATTTAAAGTTTTAAATAAAAAACAAATTGTTGATGCCAAAACTTGGACCTCAACGGAGAATTGAAAAGACCTGAACGGACCTGAAAATCTATGGTCGGACTTATTCAAACTTCAATAACTTTTTAAAAATTCAATGGATTTCCTTCAACTTGAGATTTGTAAAATAAAAAATACAACATTTTATTGAAATTAAAAATTAAATAATGAAAAATATGTTAAGGGTGCCAAAACTCGGACCTGCACGTAGAACTAAAAATCTGAATGGACCTGAAATTCCACTAATATATTTTTTTTCAAAGAATTTCCTTGAAATCTAGATTTTGTTAAAGTATGAATTTACTATTTTATCAAAACGAAAAAAAAAAAAAAAACATTAACGAAAAATATTATTTTGGTGTCGGGTGACAAGTCTTGGACCTGAATAAACCTGAAAATAGATTTTTAAAGGCCGTACGGTGACCTGTAGTTGTTAACTTCTAAAAGGTTCTATGTCATTTGGTCTCTTGTGGAGATTTGTCTCATTGGGATCAAACCACATCTTTTTTTCTAATATTTTATCAAAAGAAAAACAAATATCAAAACTGACGGGAGATACCAACAGGATACTCAAAACTGATACAAGTCTAAAAGACGGGAGATACCAATAGATAATCAAAACTCACATGTCAAAACGTATAAGTCAAAGAGACAGGAGATACCAAAGGATACCATAGACATGAATAAACCTGAAAAAAACTGTAATTCCAAATAAAAACAAATTGAACAATTAAGTTCTGTAAGTTTAAATACATCTACCCGTATGATGACTATTCAGGTCTTGTTCTTATTCAGAATTTGTGTTTTAAAACAACAAATAGTCCAAATGGTGTTAGTGACTGTCACAATATTATTTCTACAGTTGTGAAAGGGAATTTACCTGCACAAAAATGCAGGGACGTAACATATAGAAGTTACAAAACTTTTGATATTGACAAATTTACAAATGATTTACAGAAAATAAAGATTTCAGAAAACTGTACTGAGAAAGATTTAAATAGTATTTATGATGATTATGAAAAAGATTTTAAAAATATATTAAATAAACATGCACCTGTCAAATCTAGGTGTCAAAGAAGAAAACCACTGCCATGTATGAATAAAGAACTGAGAGGGGCCATATATAGAAAACAAATGCTTTATTCACAATATACTAAAAACCGGAGTGACAAAAATTGGGAGAAATTTAGAAAACAAAGAAATTTGGTAACTAAGATAAAGAGAAAATCAATAAAAGTATACTTTTTAGAACGTTGCTCTGGTGGGTCAAAATCATGCGAGTTTTGGAAAACAGTCAAACCATTTTTCTCAAAAAAGGGGAACTGTGGAGAACAAAAAATCTTATTGTGTGAAAATGACAAAATTGTAAATAGTCCAAATGAAGTTTCAAATGTTTTTAATAATTTTTTCTCCACAGTAGCAGACAAAATTGGAGCAGATGTGGTATATGACCCCTCAAATCACCCAAGTATAAAAGAAATTTTGAGTAACAGAAAGCATGTTTCTGACTTTGAATTTAAGAAAGTATCTAACGAAAATGTCAATAAAATCTTGAATAAAATAAACATAAAGAAGGCTACAGGAGCTGATGGTATTCCAGCAAAAATAGTAAAAAATTGTAAATCTTATATTGCACCACAGCTGACAACTCTTGTAAATTTATCAATTGAAAATAACTGTTTCCCTGACAAACTTAAAGAAGCCCAAGTGACCCCCCTTCATAAAAAGAGTGACCCATTATTAAAAACAAACTATAGACCAGTTAGTGTCTTACCCATATTTTCTAAAATCTTTGAAAAAATATATGAAATTCAACTAACTGAATACTTTGATAAAATATTTAATCCTTTTTTGTGTGCTTTTAGACGTGGACATGGATGTCAGACCACACTTCTCAGAGTGTTAGAAGATTGGCGTGAAGCTCTCGATAAAAACCAGTACATTGCAGCGGTATTAATGGATCTTTCTAAGGCTTTTGACTGCCTGCCTCACAATATCTTGCTAGATAAATTATCAGCATATGGTGTATCCCCCCATGCAGTTGCTCTTCTAAAGTCCTATTTATCTAATCGTAAACAACAAATTAAAGTCAACAATGTTCTGAGTGATTTGGCTGACATCCATAAAGGCGTACCACAGGGTTCTATACTAGGGCCATTGTTGTTTAACATATTTATAAATGATATTTTTCTTTTTGTTAAAAATGGTAGTTTATATAACTATGCAGATGACAATACTTTGTCTTTCTGTACTCCAGATTTTGATTTATTAATTTCAACTTTGGAATCTGAGTCAAAAATACTTATTGAGTGGTTCCGGGTGAATAAAATGCAAGCAAATCCCGATAAGTTTCAAGTTTTGGCTGTTGGCAAAAAGACCTTTGAACAAAACCCATCTATACGTATTCAAAACTCGAACCTTACATGTGAAAAAACAGTTAAATTATTAGGCATTGAAATTGACTATCAGTTAAATTTTGATGTTCATATCAGCTCAATCTGTAGGAGGGCATCACAGCAATTAAATGTTTTAAAACGTTTGGGCTCAGTTTCGGATAGACTTAGTAAACTTACTATTTTTCATACCTTTATTCTTAGTAATTTTAATTTTTGTCCTTTGGCATGGCATTTTTGCACTGAGAAAAATTCCAAAAAATTAGAAAAGGTGCAGGAAAGAGCACTCCGTTTTGTATATGAGGATTTTACCAGCCCCTACGAGGACCTCTTACTTAAAGCTAAGGTGCCCTCCTTGCAGATTAGACGGATTAGAACAATGGCTCTAGAAACTTTTAAGATTATAAATAATATAGCTCCTGTGTGCTTACAAAATTTGGTGAGTGTCAAAAAATCTAAGTATTCTTTCCGGTATGTAAATATTCTAGATGTTCCACAGGTAAAGTCAACCCGTTACGGTAAAAAATCTTTCAAATTTGCTGCTGCTACTTTATGGAACAGCCTTCCAAACCATTTCAGGACTGAAAATAGTTTTTCACATTTTAAAAGTCTTGTTCAGTCCTGGAATGGTTTGGAATGTCGATGTTCTGCTTGCAGATAATTCTTGAGATGTTTATTATTTATGTTGCTTTTGTTTGCTCTGGTCTAGCATGTTTTATTTCTTTTTAAATTTGTTGCTAAATTTTTATTGCATGCTATGTAAGTGAGATTTAACTTCGTATAACAGGTTGTTTTATATGTCAAATTAGACTGTTTTTATGTTATGTATATGTTTTTATATTCGGTCAAAAGCTCCTTAGAGCTTGTGTTGTGTCTTTTAACTTATGCCGAATCAAAATAAAGTTTTTTTCTTATCTTGTCCGTGCAGGTTCTTTTTATTTCGCCGACAAGGTCCGATTTTTGGAACTAAACAAATATTTTTTTTTTATAAAATTCTTTGTCATTTCAATGAAATATTATACCTTTTCTATAACAAAATTCAAATTTCAAGGAGATTGATTGAAAACTAAAACAGTTATAGAACTATGAATAAATCTGACCGCTGATTTTCAGGTCAATTCAGCCTGGTAATTTAATTTCCCGTTCAGGCCCGAGTTTTGACACCCCAACAATATTTTTCATAATTTTTTTTTTTTAATATTATTAATGTATTGAATTTTTCGTTTCACAAAATCTAAAGTTGAAGGAAATCCAATGAAAAATAAAACAGTAATTGAAGTTTGAATAACTCTAGGCGTAGAATTTTAGGTCCGTTCAGGTCCAAGTTTGGCATCAAAAATTTGTTTTTTTATTTAAAACATTTTATTTTTGATGAAATGTGGATCTTTACATTTAATAAAATTCTAACTTGAAGAAAATCCTTTGAAAAATAAAAAAGTAATCGTATTTTGAATAAATCGAGTCAGTATATCATCCGGTCTATTCAGTCCACTTTCAGGTCTTTAGTGTAACCCACCAAATATATCTCTTTATTTTGATTATGTTCAATTCTGCTGTTAATTTTTTCCCTTATTATGATAATTTTGATTTATGTGTAAATGAATTATGAAAAATTGTGTTTATGTTTTTTTTTAAAATAAAATGTACGGGCTACTGAATTCATGTTTTAGAATGTTGTTTTGATTTAGTGTAACAGTTAGCTCCCTTATTTTTAGACCAACTACTCTGGTTCCAAGTTAATTTTTGGATTTCAGAATGTGACACTTGATTACGATGCTAAAATATTCATCCTTTCTTATAGTCCTTATATTTCTGACAGTTATTAGCACGTCATTCGGAAAAGGTAAGTGAAACTAGAAGGCTCTTACACTGGATACATTTGATTGTTGGTTGCTTAACGTCCAGTGGCAGTGGCAAATATTTCATGCAATCTCAGGACGATACATTTGACTATCAAAAAATATCAGAAGGACCTAAGGGTTCCATGAAAGCTACGGTTCTTGATCGTCTACTGGTTTAGTAAGTTATACCATTTTTGCTACATTATTTTTCAAAATGAATCCCTTTTTGAAATTGTATTTTTTTTTCCCAAAACTGCAAAAGGGGTCTCACTAATTAGCGACAAGAAGCATCAAGAAGCGTCAAGAAGCGACAAGAAGAATAAATTTAGCGACAAGAAGCGACAAGAAGACTATTTTGCGACAAGAAAACTTAAAAAAAAAAATATTAGAATTTTACGAACCAGCTAATTATTTTCTTGTAAGAATTACTTCTTTTCATAGAAGCTTAATGACGCTTAAGGATGAACAAATAGGAATCATGGTTTAAAGGACGTGTGTCCCTTATTGTATTGCTAAAATAACATTCAATTAACACCTATAACTTTGTACACTCGTCAGACTATTCAACTACAAGGCCAGAATATACAATAATTGTATAAATAGTGAGCAACTGTTGAACACTCAACATTGTCTTTAATTACCTTTACTCTTTGATCAATTTTAAACTATGCATAAACATCATACATATCGTTTGATAAGTCAATACCCAAATAAAATATTCACGTTTTAGTAACATTTTCTTTTCTGGACACTGATTCACGTATAATGCATTTTGCATGCAGTCAGTTTATTATATTTTAGACAAAGAGAGTGTTAATAATTATATAAAATAAATATATTATTGTTCTAAAACACAAGAACATGTAAAAATTAATATCATACTATGACAGGGAAATTTCTATATTTATCAATATCTATCAATATATTTAAAAAAAATGAAAATCATTTTACTTTCCGTATATTAAAATAAAAATGTCAATGCATATATTTTTAATATATTTATTTTAATTATATTTTTATTAAGTTTTCTTGTCGCTAAATTTATGCTTCTTGTCGCTTCTTGTCGCTAAAATTCTTCTTGTCACTAATTTGTGAGACCGTGCAAAAGGCATAAAGTACGGACCATTTGATTTTTTGTTTTGTTTTGTTTTTTTATTTTTTTTGGGGGGGGGGGGGGGGGGGGGCTTTGTTTTTTTTTGGGGGGGGGGGGGGAATCTGGCCTCTTATTATCATGATTTATATATGGTAAAGAAAATGCCTTTTCAGTTGTTAATAAAATATTCTGGGGACATCTTCAGCAGGTATGACATGTTAATGGTATAAACAAAATCTCACTTGGTTTAATGCATGGTAAAAAAAATCTTAGACCCCCAGAAAATCAAATGGTCTGTGCCTAAAATAAAACAATGTATTAAAAATTATATACAAAAATGCAGTCTAATTTACCATGTAAAATCAGTGCCAATATTCATGATATTCATCTGATATAAGCCAGGTAAGTCAATAATTTAGGTTATCTGATATCAAATTGAATTTAATAACTGCAATGACTGCAATAAAGTTTTTTTTTATTCTCAACTATACTGCCTTTTTAACCATATACAGTATTTGTACATGCATATTATTTGAGTACAGGAAATGTAAAAGTGCTGAAGTCAAACTCTATTATCTATACACCAAAAATCAATCAATCTGTTACATATACATGATATATGTGAGCCAAAATTTGTTCCTGTGAAAAAAGTTCCAGTGGAACTAATATCACAGGAAATATGTTCTGGGAGAACTTTTTCACAGATGATTTCTATATAATTTGTTCCATCTCTATAAAATAAGTTCCACACTTTACCTGGTGAAATAAGTACGGGGTTGGTGAAATTTGTTCCTTACCTGGTGAAATAAGTTCCAGGTTTATGAGATTTGTTCCTTATCTGGTGAAATAAGTTCTGGGTTTGTGAGATTTGTTCCTCATCTTGTGAAATAAGTTCCTTGTCTGTGAAATATGTTCCACTGGTTAAATAAGTTATCTTATATACTTAGCATTTGTCATCAGTGAGTTTAAAGTTATCATTCAAGTGCATTATAAAAATAAGTATTATATCAATGATAAAAAAGTAAAAAGTGTAAATCATCCAATTCAGATTCTGTGGAGTATAGCAAATGTTTAATTATATACTCCGTAAAATATATCAAAATGACACTTTACAGCCAGAAAAGAGTAGAATAAGCAAAAACAATCATTCAGAAAAAAAGTATAGTTAAAGATGAACATATGTACCTATTTGAAAAGGACAAAGTGACTGATCAGTTATATCAAAAGACGTGTAGAAACAAAAGACACACTCTTTTGAAACTGTGCTATGACCTAAGTACATGTATGACTAGAACACGGGGCCATAACAGTTAACAAAAACCAAGGAGGAATACCACATAAAACATAAATACAAATTTTGATACATTACCATCGCTTTTATTTCTTATCTTCATCCTTTAGTTACAGTCATGCCTTCAATTGCAAATGTGTTCCATGCAAGCACACTCAGTACAGCACTCAGCTTGCATTATAATTTAAATGTAACAAGAAAATGTTTCGCTTGTAAATTGTTGCAAAGGTACTTATTTCCGGTGAAAATAGGTTTTAGCGGAACTTATTCATTGATTTCAATGAAATATGTACAAGTTCGTTTAAAACAAATATCACAGGAACTTATTTAACTTTTTAAAACTCTTAATATTAATTGGAACAAAATTCATGGAGCTATGATTTTTGTTCCGGAACTTATTTCACATTTGGTCATAAAATTAGTTCCGGAACAAATTTTACAGTGCTGGAACATATTTACTATTTACTATACTGTAATAGACACTTACAAACAGTTTTTGACTTCAAAAGTTTACCTACTGGTATATTAATTGAATTATGTTTTAAAGATGGATTATTTTAGGATTTAGGATTACATGGATTAATAAAATGCTTTTTTTAGAAGCATAAATACATTTTATACTGAGTTTTACTGTATGTACGGGTACTGTTGTGCATTTGTTTTTTCTACATTGGCTAGAGGCATACATGGTATAGGGGGAGGGTTGAGATCTCAAAAAACATGTTTAACCCCGTCACATTTTTGCGCCTGTCCCAAGTCAGGAGCCTCTGGCCTTTGTTAGTCTTGTATCATTTTTAATTTTAGTTTCCTGTGTATAGTTTGGAGTTTAGTATGACGTCCATTAACACTGAACTAGTATACATATTTGTTTAGGGCCAGCTGAAGGACGCCTTTGGGTGCGGGAGTTTCTCGCTACATTGAAGACCCATTGGTGGCCTTCAGCTGTTGTCTGCTCTATGGTCGTGTTGTTGTCTCTTTGACACATTCCCCATTTCCATTCTCAATTTTATGATAAAAAAAGACGTATCATGTGTATGAAAAAGGGTCAATTTACTCTTAAAATTTAAAATTTTAGTGTCATCATCTGATATAAGTCAATAATTTAGGTTTTAAAAGTTAAAAAACAAAATTACCTACTCTAACCTGAGCATTTTTTGCAATAAAATTTATCGGTTTGTTTCCCATTATATTAAATGCTATTTAACACTTATTAGATATATTTGTACATGTTGTACATCATGTATATATATTTGAAAAAAGAAAAATTCTCTCATCGAAGAATGATCACCAATTGTAAAAGAAAATACATGTATAGTTACTTAATATTTTGCTGTTGTCTGAAAATTAAAGTGCATTTTCAATACCCTTTTCTGGAAATTATAAATTCATTCTTTAAACAAAATTTTACTACACTTTCCTTTGAAAATTTTTCCTTCCATTCATCATGTTCATATCAAAATCATTCAATTAAAAATATTTATAAAAAAATGTTAAAAGATCAGTGCATCTTCTAAAATCCATTTAAGAATTTGCATAATATATAAAATTAAGATTATGGACAAATGGAAATGAATGTAATCCTTTAAACCATTCATCCTCACTGTCATTATTCATATAATTTTTATTAAAATGACCGAAAGATGAGTTAGAAAAATTGTATGCTTATATTTGAACATCATAATGACATCGTCACATGAACATAAAAATACTTGAGCTCTCAAAAGCAAAGTAAATTTACGGATACAAGCTTGTCATAATGCTTCTATCATCACCTAAAAAAATGTTGTCTTTCTTAATTTAATCCAATAGTGATATATATATATCAAGTTTTTTTGTTTGTTCACCACAATACCTTACATGCCTTAGAATTTGACTTCAAATTACACACACAACTTTTCCAATCATTCCATCTGTGATTTTGATCAATTGATTGTCAGAAGTATCTAAGAAGTCATCACTTGGCGTCTGTCATCGTCCGTAGTCGTCTGTCGTCGTTCGTTGTTAACTTTTACAATAATCTTCTCCTCTGAAACTTCTTGGCCAAATATAACCAAACTTGGCCACAATCATCATTGGGGAATCTAGTTTAAAACATGTTTCCGATGACCCCACTTGCCAACCAAGATGGCTGACATGACTAAAAATAAAACATAGGGAAAAAATGCAAGTTTTGTCTTTTACTTTGTAAACCGTTATAGATAGAGATAATCTGACTGAGGCAAAATGTTCAGAATGTTGAGCTCTACCAATTGTTCAATTATGTCAAAACTGTTAGACTACTTTTTATAGGAGTTATTGCACTTAAATGACAAATTTTACTCTTTTTTTTTTTCATTTTTGCATATTATTTTGAAAACTTATAATAGATAGGAAAAAACTTCAAATTGCAAAAAAGATCAGCAAAACCAGTTCTACAAATAAGTCTACATGGTTGAAATCGTCAGTCAACCCCTTATTAGAGTTATTGCCCTTTGATGACGATTTTTACAATTTTTTTGCGTTTTTGCCTTATAGTTAAAAAAAATATAATAGATAGTAGAAACTTAAATAAGCAAAAATGATCAGCAAGACAAGATTTACAATTTAGGCCAGTGGAGGAAAGTGGCAAACGACTCCTGATTGGAGTTATTGCCCTTTAATGATGATTTTTACTATTTTTTTGTGTTCTGCCTATATGATAAAAACTATATTAGATAAATTGACACTTTGAATCACAAAAATGATCAGTAAGGCAAGAACTACCATCAAGTCAAATTTTGCTGATATAGTTAGTAGACATGGTAGATTGTCACTCTTTATAGGAGTGATTGCCTTTAAATGAGGATTTTTTTACCCTCTTTTGAGCAAAAAGTAAAGAAGATAGAGAGAAACAAAACAGGCAAAATGATCAGCAATACAAGAGCAACAAAACAGAGATTTTTGTCATGAATTCTATTCTTGTCTACAATTTTGGAGAGTGTCCTTTGTTAAATATGCACATAGACCAAGGTCATGAAGGTGTAAGCGACACAGGCTCTTTAGAGCCTCTAGTTTAATGTTGTTTAAGTGTCTTACAATAGTTGATATAAAGAAGAATAACATTCAAAATGAGATCTGAAAAAATGTCTTTATTAGTTAAAAAAATAATGAAGTTTATTTTATTTATTTATTTCTGATGTTTTTTTCATGACAATACCAAGAAGTAAGTGGGTTTTGGGGTCTCCTATAAAAGAATATAGAACAAGGAGTTGTGAGATCTTTGTCAGATATTTTTTGGCATAGTGTGGATACTAAGGGTCTGTATTTAAAACAGATTGTGTAAAAAATCACTAATAATCTTTATCATGATTATAGTGATTTTTTTATAGAACCACCTGGTGTGTACATATGTATCATTAGTATGATTAGCATATTTATTTATTTCCAGCACTGCAACCATGGGTGCCAGATATTGTTAACCTGGAACCTAACAATCAGACAGTTTTATCAGTGTCACAAATTAGTAAAAATGCCAATTATGCTGTTTTCCAAGCTCACACTCAGTATAAAGATGTCACTCTGTCATTACATCCAAATATCACCATGGAAACCTCAGAGACAGGAAGTAGTATTGGAATATTGGTGGTTATAAACGGACAAACATCTCTAAATGTTTATTTGACATCACACCTAAATGTTACAACAAATGTCCTGGTTTTCATCAGTATCAGTGCTGATGGCAAGTATTTTTCACATATACATGTATAATAGAAAAACAAAGGATATCGGGTATCCATCCATGACACAAAATCAGTAAATGCACAACAAAAAAACATACAAAAAGCAAAGGAACAGCACTTATATTGCTGTTCTTCATCTCAAAGTCACAGTGAGAAATCAACACAGATAATATACATGTATTTTAAGCAAAGGAGTATACCGTTATTTCACAACCTTATTCTAAAAATTGAAATCAGGCTCAAATTTACTATTGAACATCTTTCAGACAACTCACTTTTACGATCATGAAGGCATACATGTATAAGTCTATCATGTCTGTGGGAAAAAATTCAAGTTAGTCTGTTGTAGATTGCATAAAAAAATTGCTTTCAAGCATTAGCAATGATCATGATGATTTATTGAAGTGTTTTTGAAAATAACATGTTGCCATAAGTTTTTTTAATTTTATTTAATTGAATTTTTTTTAAGAAGAAAGTTTTTTCACTATGAACATTTCCAAAAAATTCTATGTTTAGGATTTACAGCTGACATGTTAGCCATGTTATTAAACAGTTAACGGCGCATGGTAAACACATTGTAAAGGAAAATTACACTATTAATTTTATGCATCCGAAGCACTTCTCTGGATTAACCTTCATCAGGAATGCTCAAACCGAAATGTTTGAAAGCCAGAGATAAATAAATTTTATGTAGAAATATGACTACAAAGGACCCAAAAGTTTAGCCAAACTATTCTAAGGTTAACTTTTCCTGAGGGAGTAACTTGTAGTGTTTTTGCATGGATGGCTGTCTCATTGATGGTTTTATCCAATATCATCTTTAATTAATATTATCATTCCTCCCTCTATTCATAATAAAACTTTCCTGAACACTCAAGATGGTCAAAAAGTTGACATTGTATACAATTTAAAGTGTGAAAGATTTTACATTTGTATAATTGGGTGCTTGTAATTTGTTCTATTTTTAGCTTCCACTCCAGTGCCAGGAGGATGTAATTTAGAATTCAACATGGAAAATGACCCAAATATTCACATTGCTTTTAGGAATGAAATAAATAATGTCATGTTTCAATGGGCTAAAAATTCGACGAAAGATTCAAGTTGTGAAAAATCACCAGTTTTGAACCAGTTATCTTATCAGTTATACGTATATTACATTGGTGACAGTGATTGGACAGAAGAAGCTTTTTTTAATGGCATGAAAAAGATGTTAACTCATAGATATGTTATGAAACATGGAAAAAAGGTTTGTTTATACATAAGAACTTTTCATTCTGTAAGCCTTAAGAGACAAGAATGTCTAATGTATATTGTCAAAAGTTAAAGATTATGTTTTGTTTTTCGTTTAAGGTAGTACCAAACACCTTGACTAAAATTAATTTGACTCGTTTAATTTACATAAAATTTTGACAAAATATTAACTTCGTTTGACCCTTTGACAAAAATATAAAAATTTCAAAAAACTTGAACCACACTCTTTATCGGAAAAATTTCATTGGATATATAGCAGTTTGACAAACACTAATTTTGATCATTGAGAAGCTATATATTTCCTTAATAGAACTTGATTAAAACGTTCATGTGATTTTTGCAGAGTTATCTCCCTGTAGTGTTATATAGCACCTTAATTGGAAAAACAAATATCAAGTTAACTAACAAGTGAAAAAGTAGGAATAATGAAGGAACTGTAACTCATGCTTAATACATAATATACAATGTAGGTAAATAAGCCATGTAAAATTAACTTTCTGGTTCTCAGAAACTGCCACTTCAGCCAAAAATCTTGCTGCTGTCTTGTATTTATTGCCAAACCAAAACAAATAAATTGCGTAAAAAATCTGTGTCGTTCAAATTTTACCACCCTCAAACTAGTCAGAGAGCACTTTTATTGCTGTTCTTCATCTTAAAGTCACAGTGAGGCCTTTAACACCTAGCAAAAAATCTCTACTCACTGCAAGTTTCAGACATCCCCTAGAACGGGTTTGACAGGAATTCTTTGCAAACTGAAGATCACACCACAACTGTGAATTGAAGAATAAAGCCATCTAGTTATATCAATAAAATAAACATGATAAATCTGGCAAAGAAATCAAACATTAGAATACAGTTTTTAATGAGTTTTCTCCCTTTCTAGTTTTTTTGCATATATATTACAATATATTTAATATAAATTTTCATGAGTCATTCAGTAGCAGCACTAAGTAGAATAAGAAATAAAACAAAAGTGGTGTTTTTATAAATAAGAAGATGTGGTATGAGCATGATGAGTACCAATGAGACAACTCTCCATCCAAGTCACAATGTATAAAAATGTAAATCTGATGTAACAGGCACTATTTTATTACCTTTTCATCATCTTAGTTGCTTATATAGACAACTGTTACTCATGTACAAAATGCTGTAGAAGGAAGCGGTCCAATTGATAATCGGGCAGTCATGGGTACTACTTGAACAAGTAATTTTTATTTATTTGAAGAAGTAAATATTAATATACTTATATAAGTAAATTTGCAAGATACTTATACAAGTGTATTTTATTTACTTGTTTAGGTAAAGTATTTTATTGGCTAAGTTATGTCCCTTAGACATTCAGATTTTTTTACTTATACAAGTAAAAAAGTCATATTAGCTTCTTTTCTTGAATTTCTCATGGACTTCTTTGCTCTAATTAATAGAATTTTTAATTGTCTGTCCTTTGCAGATGTCTTTACTAATCATGTAAGTGTAATTTCATGGACAATGAAAATCTCATTTGTCTGTTATCTTCAGAATACTGCTCATTTACAAGCCCCCAAGGGGCAGTTTTTGATGGCTTTGCGCAATTACTTAAGATCTTTGCGCAATTAGTTTCTTTGTTGAATCAATGAGATGAAACATTGTACTCTAATAAAAATTATGAACTAACCAGAGAAAAATCATTAAAGGCATGTTTTTACATCTCAAAACTAGAGAATTTTATGGATTGTAAAAAAGAATTACTTGTACAAGTAAATTTTTTGAGAAAATTAAGGGGAGTGCCCAAGAGAAAATAAATCTGGGATCCCAATGGAATTCCAATCCCACCTCATTCCACCGGGATAAAATTTTGGGATTCCCGCAAAAGAAGCTGAATCCCGATGTAAATCCCATTGGAAATATACTGGGATCCCACTGGGATATTGTGGGATTTTGATTGGAATATACTGGGATTCCCGGAAAAAATTGGGATCCTGAAATAAATCCCAGTGTAAATATACTGGGATATTGTGGGATTTTGATTGGGATATACTGGGATTCCCGGGAAAAAAGGGGGATCCCGAAATAAATCTCAGCAGGATATACTGTATTTATCATGTTAAAAACATTAAATGTCCAACCATGGTCAGCCATGATTCCTACCATATTCAACCATGCATGTTTCCTACAATCTTTAATTATCTTGAACAGATTGTCTACTTGTTAAGGAGCCTTGTATACTTCTCTTCCTATCTGTATCAGGACTACCAACAAATGCTCAATTACATCCATAAAATTAAAAGCAGTTTCCTACTGCAAGAACATAAAATTTTCCACAAAGAATCAATAGCTCACGATATTTTGTAAAAGGATCAATAAATTTTATTTTCATTAATCAATGTTGTTTTTATTCTATTTTGCAAATTTACGATAAAAAACAACATTATGAACACATTTTTTTGGTCAAATAGTTGTAAGTTGTAGCCCCCCGCCCTCTTTTACCTTTCAAACAAAAGAAGATTGATTGATGTATAATTAATTATTTTAACATGGGAATTAAAAATATTCACACTTTTTATCTTGTACAATTTTATCAGTTATACCTGGAATTCAAAACAATATTCATTTATCACAGTTTTTTTATGCTGACATCGAGATGCTGACAGACAAAGACCACTTTCTGATGTGTGCAATTAATGAAAGCCATATCAAATACCGTAATAATTTTCATATCTTATAAACAAAATATCAAACAGATTTCCTGTAACTATACTTATCTGATAACAAATCTGCTTTACATGACAATCCTGGACATCAATCTCTTCACTTTTTAAAAGCGCGAAATAACATTTGGTCACGTCACGTGGCTTTTGTTCCAAGTCATTGAAATGTTTCACTTTGAGTGAATCCTAGTTAACGGTTGGTGATAATAATTGACCATGACATCGCATGTGTTCCGGTGACAGAACAACAACACGATCATTATCTAAATCTGAAATGTTTTCAAGTTCTTAAAATATGCCGTATAATGATAAAGAAAGGCAGATTTATGAACTTGGAGAGAGAGTCAGAAATTACATCTTTGGAAGAAATGAATAAAAGTTTGACAGTGTACCACTGATAAAAAACGAGTAGAAATAGAAATTGAAAACTGAAAGTAAGCTCCAACTTCCAGTTTGTAAAAGTCCGAAATTTCACCTGACTGTCACTATCTTTCTCTGCTACTGTAGCTTAACTGCTCAGTTTATATTTATTTTCTAAAGACAAGAGAATATATTTTTATTGAACATAAACATGAAAGGTCAGAGAGCCAGAATTTACATCTTTGGAAGAAAGAAATTAAAAACTGATAAGTTGATAAGAGCATGTTTAGTGAAAAAAGATGACATTTGTAATAATTATTTACTATGATGTTTTGATGTTTGAAATATGTTAATTGTCATTCAAAAGAGGATAAATTATTACAACACGGCATTTAAAATAAAGACATGAAATAAACAAATATTTATATCATGCATTATTTTTATTGCTTTGTGTACTCCAGGATTATTTTTTTTTAAATTCCACACAAAATTCTGGTTTATGTTTTCCCGTTTCAACTAGAATGGGATCCCGGCTTCAGACAGTTATCCCAAATGGGATCCCAGTTTCAGATATTTATCCCGAATGGGATCCAGACTTCAGATGCTTATCCCGGCTTATCCCACCAATTTCACCGGGATTTCATTGGGATCCCGATGGATCCCGTTTTCATTTTCTCTTGGGAGCTAGCTAGATTATTCAAACATTATAAGAATAATGAACATAACAAAATTTACTTATATAAGTATATTATTATTTACTTCTTCAAGAAAACAAAAATTACTTGTACAAGTAGAACCCCTGACTGTCGGGTAAAACCTATATCCATTTTACTTGTTTACAATTGAACATATCCTAAAAAGCTGTCAAAACATTTAAAACATATATCAATCATTTTCTGTTATATAAAATAAGTGTTTATACATGTTAATTTATTTTTTTTATGTTTTAACTTTTTATTTTTATAATTCTGTACATTTATTAACACAAGTTAACAAAGTCATTTCATTTTTGTTTACAGCTGAAAGAAATAAAATATTCATCATCAAAAAAGCCGATCTTTAAATTGCCATCTTACACAGGTCAAGGAACCATTTACAATGTAATTGTAACACATGGAAACCAGATTGCTTCTTATGTTCCCATGACAACATATTCTTGTGATCTTAATGAACAAGATGAACAGTGTCACTATGCATGTAAGTAATGTATTCTTAAAGATTTTAGTGGTTCTCATTGTAGATTCCAATTGCAAGCATATTTAAAAACACTTACTTTACAAATACCAGTTTAAAATGGATACGGGGAGGGTCTAAATTTTCGTCTTCTTAAATTGTTTGGGTCATTTTTCTGTTTTCCTTATTTTTTTCATCCATTTTTTCTCTATTCTTTATATTTTAGTATCCCATAATATTCTCTTTTTTTTTTTTCAAATTCCAGGTCATTTTTATTTTTCATTTTTTTTGGCTCATTATTCTCCATCCAGACCCTCATATATATATCACAAAATAAACTGCTCTTTTGAAAATCTGTCAATCAGTGGCAGAAAATAAACACTCTCTCAGTCTTGCTCACCTATAAATTTGCTATGTTTTGAAAGTTATTTTGACATCAAAATGAAAATAGGTTAATCATAATATATTTAATTTTTCAGCATCTCTGAACATGCCGAAGAGACATTTATTGTTGATATGGTTATCTGGTGCAGAAAAATTGGTACCGTTAATGTTATTGGCATATAACAATACTAGTTGAGCAGACCTGTGATTTAGCAAAAAGAATAACATATTTATATTAAAGTTGACTACTGTTATAACTGTAGTAACAACATTAACGGTACCAATTTTACTCCACCAGATGCTCAATTTCGACAATAACTGTCTCTTCAGTGATGCTCAGCGCCAAAATAAGTGAAAATCCGAAGATTATTATAAAAATGAAGAGCTTATAAACCAAAAAGGACAAAAAGTTTAGTCAAAGTGTGGCAGACATTTTTTCCCTCATCTTTGTTCAAGGACATTAACTGTTGTCATTTATTTTAAAATGGGATGTAAGAAGTATTTAAAAGATGGAAATTCTTGTATGACAGAAAAGTATGGTTTCACTCTCATTCCTGTCACATGGGGAAAAACAGGGAAGAAAGGTTCATTATAACAGCATTTGATGATATGTTTATTAAGAAATTTTGTTTTTTAAACATACTTTTATTTTTAATTTTTCAGCCACAACCAGTAAAGTATTGATTAGTGTAGCTGGGATACTTGGGTTGTTTCTTTGTTTTTTGGGACACAGATATTTCAAAACAGGTACTTTTATAAATAATCATAATTCTAGATTTAAACCACTTTCTGACCCTCAAATTGAAAGTCTTCTATAATTACAAGTTTCACCTTTAATATAGGTTTGTGTTTGGTCTGAAAGTATGTATTTTGTAATCTTTACACTCGTGCTGAATTATAGAAACTAACATTAACTGAAAGGTTAATTTGAAATAAAAAGATGTGTTTTTCAAAGATGTTAATATGAGCACAACATCTTTAGTTGAATCTTGTTATGTTATGCAAATTTAATTGAATATGTATTTATAAAGAGAAGAGTTGCGGAATTAATGTCAATAAGACAGCAAGCAAACAACACCAGCAGACAAAAAACTTCTAGGGGTCTGCATATCATTTTCATGAAATGAAATGACAGAAACTTCATTCATTACCATGTATCATGCTCTAAATCATCGTAATTGTATACAATCATGTAAGAAGTAAATATACATTATATTCCAAATACTGTTGAATACAGTTTCATCATGTTCATTCCCAAGCGACGGGCGTATCATGTGCTCATGGCGCAGCTCTTTATTAGTGTTTCATGGGACTTTAGTCAACCCAATTGACTTTCTTTGACAATAGATTGGAATTAAAAAAGGATTATGTAAAACCAATGATAGTATACAACATATACAGATATATATATGAAATGACCTTTGTATTCAATTTTTAATTTGATTACATGAAGTTTAAATTTCAATGAATGCACTGGAATTAAACAAGTAAGGGGAAGTAATAATCTCAGCCATCAACTTGGGGTTAGAGTGATGATGTTGTATTCTGTAGATATCTTTTGATTTTTGTGTTATTGTGTTGCTGTCTTCTTTATGTATACCCCACATCTACTTTTATTGTCCCCCACGCAACGACATAGAAATACTGGGCGTCCGTCTGTCCGGTCTTGTTAGCGCTGTTACATGTACAATTCTTGCCAGATTTATATAAAACTTATATCAAAGGTTCATATCAGCAATGTCACAAACGAGTTTGAAAATCAGTGCAGATCAACTATTTTTAAAAAAGTTGCCCCTTAGAAACTTTAATTATATGGAAAATTGCCAAGTTAGTGCTCTCATGTGTACAATTCCTGCCAGATTTTTATGAAACTTATATTATAGTTTTATATCAGCATTGTCTCGAACTTGTTTGGAAATCAGTGCAGATCAACTATCTTTAAAAGAGTTATGCCCCTTGAAAACATTAATATATATGGAAAATTGCATCGTCAGCGCTCTCATGTGTACAATTTTTGTCAGATTTTTATAAAACTTATATTGTAGGTTTATATCAGCAATGTCTCGGACGAGTTCGAAAATCAGTACTGATCAATAATTTTTATAAGAGTAATGGCCATTAGAAATATCAATAATATGGAAAATTGCATTGTTAGCGCTCTGATGTGTACAATTCTTGCCAGATTTTTATGAAACTGAAATTGTAGGTTTATATCAGCAATGTCTTTGACGAGTTTGAAAATCAGTGCCGATCAAATATTTTTAAAAAGTTCTGCCTCTTAGAAATATTAAATATATGGAAAATTGCAATGTTAGTGCTCTCATGTGAACAATTTTTGCCAGATTTTTATCAAATTCATATCAAAGGTTATTATCAGCAATGTCACTGACAATTTCGAAAATATTTGCTGATTAAATGTTTTTAATGAGTTATGTCCCTTGGAAATTTTAATAATATCAGAAATTGCTCTTAAGTCTCCAACTCTCTAATATAATTTTAAAAAGTTTAAAAAGTTTTAAAAAACAAAACAAAAATATTTTTTTAGTTATTGATTTTGGACAGATAAAATATGTGCAACAGGGGGGACATTGAAACTCTGTTTATTTATATTGGTTACAACATTCAACATGTTCAATTTACTGTCTTTTATCAACATGGTTACCAATCACATAAACGACCTATCATATTTAACCCAGGACAAAGCAAGAATTAACATACTGTGGATTCATTTATTCTCATGGGTACCAATTTTTGTGGATTGATGAAAACTTGTATCTTTATGGATATTTAATGTCGTGGTTTTGCCAAAGTCTGCATACAACCTTATGGAAAATTTGTAATCGTTGAACATTTAAATACGTGGTTCACTTATACCCACGAAATCCACGAAAATCGGTATCCAACGAATAATAATAAATCCATAGTACTTCATTTAAGGACTTTCTGACCATTACTTATAATAGTCACATTGCCTGCTGAGCATTCAACCAGTTTTAAATGTTCACTACACATGCTCTAGTAGATTGATTACAGTTTTCAATGACTTTCTAAAAAATATTTTTACCATGTTTTGAGTGTTTTTATTGCAGCCTTTCATGTAGACAACAACTTAAAAGTAAATAGTACATGTTCTAAACTCAGAAGCGGCAAGCACCAACACATAAACAGGAAGGCCTAATTAATCTTTATGCTGTAAAACATTCAGATTTTGCTTTTGTCATGGTTATTGAAAAATCTTTAAAAAAGGTACACTAAAAAGTATTGATAATGGAATGCAAAGCATAACTTCATTAAATTCTGAAAATAAATACATGCATTGAGGAATTAAACTAAATCCCCCTTAGATACCATCATTACTGAGCCATTATCTTGAATTGTTTGTCATCAGTAATTGTTTTCTTTTTTAGGAAATTTTCTGATGGCCTTTTGTGGATTTTGTGTTATTTTCTACTTAGTGTTGAACATCTCCACATCACAGTCATTAACTGGTAATTATAACTAAACAAAAGTATATATGTATGGATACATACACCTTATTGTTATTTGCTCACCATTACTTGACATCACAGATGTTCCCAGTAAAATTTTGATGTCACAAGGAAAAATGTCTGAGGCCACAAGAAGAGAAAAGTGATTGTTGTAAGATGTCAATAGTTCAAGTGTCTCAAATTCTCATGCCAAGTGTCACAAATTTCTAAATAGTGATAAGATCTATCATTGTTTATTGTATACTACACAAAATTAAAATCCATATATATATATGAAATAACTCTTATTGTTCAAATTCGTTAGCTATGACATATTGATGATGCAACATTGACATCACAAATGACATTTCTGCACTTTAGTTAACAAAATGTATCATTATAATAAATTTTTCAATAATTTTGAATTAAAATAATTTAAAAATGATTTAAGAATTTTACCATGTTTGCAATGTGAGCAAACATTGTAACCTCTCATTATACCTTCTTCACCTTTTCTGAAATTTTACACGATGCTTTTTTTTATTACACAGTTCAAATAATACAAAGCTAGGATGGATTTTTAAACTATTGAAAACTTTTTTATGTACATAATAACTGATTTTAATACATTTATATAATATATATAAAATTCTTTTCAGTTATATTTGTTCTGTCATGTATTTTGGCAACAGTAGCTGGTATCCTGTGGCTAATGCTTTGGTGGTGCATTGGAGTACCAGTCCTGTCTGTTCTGGTTCCTAGTTTAACTGCTGGTTACCTGTTTGCATGTGTACTCTTCTACACTGATTTTGGTAAAAAAAGATAAATTTTGCTATTTATTTAAGTTTAAATAGGAAAAGAAAAAAACTTATCGGTATATTAAATTACTACATTTGTACTAGAATGATATAATTATGTACAAATACCTGTCAACCTTTGAAAAGGAAAAGGCAGGTTATGACCTGCATTGAGTAAAAAATATCTAGTCATAACAAGTACAAGAATTAGGATTTCCATAAATCACATAAATTTATGCCCTGTAAAATATTACATATGTTACCAATATGCTGAAATTCCTTCATTTTATTTTATTTTCCAGTCTAAACTACAATATTATTATTTCTTAATAATTAAGTAATAATTTTAATAAGTATTTAGTGATAACAAAAATTCCTGAGCCATTTACAGGATCATGCATAAGTGAACTACTTTGAGGGATGTCCCAATTAACACTTTTATTGCTGATTATTTTTCCGTTGTGTTTTGATGAAAATTATTTAACATCTTTTCCATGAAAATATCATAGGCATAAACATTTCAGATCAAGGGATATTTTTTGAAAATGAGAAGACTTAAATTAGGGGGATTGAAATCCCTGGTTATTTAATGACCAGACAGATGGTTAAAAAAAATTTGTAAGCTGGAAATTTCCAATGTGTGACCTGCAAAAATCTTGTCAGTTGGCAGGTATTATGAACAAGTTAATGTATCAATCATATTGCATCCATTTGAACAGTCACATTTATGACGCTTTTTAAGAATAATAAAAATGAATCATAAAAAACAACAGTTTGAATGACCAAAAAAATGTAATTGAAAAGCTGTCAAATTAAAATGTACAAGAATTAACATTTTCTGCAATAGTTTTTTTTTATGCGAAAGGTGTATGGATAATTTTTTTTGAATTAATACAATTCCTAGAAATAAATATGCATCAGATAACAGTAGTATGTTAAATCAAACATTTTTTATGTCCCACTTAGGGGCATTATGTTTTTTGGTCTGTGCGTCCTTTTGTCCGTCCGTCCATCCGTCCATCCATCCGTCTGTCCCGCTTCAGGTTAAAGTTTTTGGTAAAGGTAGTTTTTGATGAAGTTGAAGTCCAATCAACTTGAAACGTAGTACACATGTTCCCTATGATATGATCTTTCTAATTTTAATGCCAAATTAGAGTTTTGACCCCAATTTCACGGTCCACTGAACATAGAAAATGATAGTGCGAGTGAGGCATCCGTGTACTATGGACACAGTGAGGCATCCGTGTACTATGGACACAGTGAGGCATCCGTGTACTATGGACACATTCTTGTTTTGTATGAATTTCTTCCACAAAGAGGAATCCCTAGATATCCATGTTATTCTAAAGTAAAGAGTTATAGATCATATATGGTTTGAAAATGATAGGCCGTTTCTCGTCTACAATCTCATTTAATGTGCCTTATGATAATAATGTCTTTTGAGTCACTTTCAAACACCATGTTTTTAAGCAATTTAAATGTCTATTATTTTATACAAAAAATTATGTAAGAAAATTAAAATAAAATGTTACAATATTGTTTTACTTTAGGTAATTTACTGTATTGGACAACAAGATATAATTATGGCATGTCATTTACTGTTGGAGTTTTGATATTACCAGTTCTGATTTTATATTGGACCAGAGTGGTATGTTATCCTAGAAGATGATAAAATATTTAACAAAAAATGCATAGCTTTTAGGTCTATATAGCAGTGATGGTCGATTTTATCCTCTCCAAAAAAATAAATGAACTGAACTGAAGCTGAGTCCAATATGTGAGATGACCAAATGGTCCATAGTAATGATAAACTGTCATTTGGTCTGAAGTTACGTGAATTATTTGTTATATTATACTGAGACTAATAAAAGTGATCAAGCAAAACATTGAAAACAGCTTATTTTTACTCTGATACAAAATATACTTTTAAGCCCTTTTAATTTACAAGTGTAATATTCAAATGACACAGGATGTTTGATACATAAAATTAAATGCAATTGTTTTATTCTGGAAAACTAGTAGAATATCATGATTAATTATAAAAATAAGAAGATGTGGTATGATTGCCAATGTGACAACTTTCTACAAGTGACCAAATGACATGAAAGTTAAGAACTATAGGTCACTGTACGGCCTTCAGCAATGAGCAAAAACCATACCGCATAGTCAGGCCCAGAAATGATAAATGCAAAACAATTCAAACGAGAAAACTAACAGACTGATTTTTGTACAAAATAATGAACGAAAAACAAATATGATATACAGCAACAAATGGCAACCACTGAATTACAGGCTCCTGACTTGGGACAGGCACATACAGAATGTGTTGGTGTTAAACTAGTTTGAAAGTGCCAACCCTCCCCTTACCTGAGTCAAGGGTAAAACAGTACAACATATGAACAAACTATAATTCACTTGGCTGAAAGGGCTGGTGTGAACTAATGCTATCATATGCACTTCTGTAAATATAGACAATGCAATTTCCCGTAGGAACTTCTTATATGGCTAAAATTGTGCTCCTTTTACTATGAAGTTTGGTAAAAAATTATATCCTACAATAGCAAGTTCATATGCACTACTATTTTTTTCAAAGGTCAAAACATACGGTTGTGCAACACTTAAATGCCCCGAACTTCTAAGAGAATAAACTTAATACTAAAATTCTGTTCTACCCCTCCCTTCACTTTGGGTCTTCCTCAGAATTCAATTTGGTAGCTATCCATGTATACTTATACTGGTAACATTCAAAAGTTATGTCTCTATGAGATGAAACATAGAGATGATATCTGGGAACCAGTATGTAAACAAAGCAAAATATCTATGAATGTTATATAATTCCCCAAAAGAGGCATGGTTCTGTGAAACAGCTGTATTTACAAAGTGCAACCTATTAAAATCTTCTACTCTGAAACTAATGGATCAATAAGAACCAAACAATCATCCTTGGGGTATCTATTTTAATAATGTTACTGTTGACTCAGCCTGCCAACTACTAGAACTGCCAATGCTTAAAATAGAAAAATAGGGGTTAATTGTGAGGTGTCAGTTATATCTTAAAAACTTGTGAAGAAATGGAAAATCAGACAGGAGCAAACTTTTTTAAAATGGATAGAGTTCATTCATTCTCTGCCTGGGATATAATTTCTGTCACAGCTTTAACAAATAAAGTATTAAATACAGCTATTCCACTTTTGCGACCAAGTAAATACTTGAGGCTTATTATTACTCAATTATGGACAGTTCAACATCATATTTATCAGTTTTCAGATAAGTTGCTAAGTATTAAAAATAATATAAAGATACATTGTATCACCTAAATCATAAACTCTAATTATGAATTTAATTAAATGAGGTATGGGTTATCTGCCATTAACACAAGTACTAAATTTTCCAAATCACAAAATCATTAAGATTTGAAAAAAGACATTCAGAAAGTTTTTAAATTTTTTTATTGTGGTGTAGTTTGCTTTCTCATTCACAAATAACCTTAATATCCTCTAATTGTCTCCCCTCATGTCGCACCTTGGGAGATGGTTGTGGTCTCGGTCCTTTCCTTTGGATACACTTCAATTCACAGAGACAGTTTGACACAAATCTTTCAAACTTGGTATGATTATTTGATGACATATTCTTTTGACTGTGCTGTAATGTCATTTTGATTTGACAATTTTTACAGGAGAAATATTAATGGGACTATGACCTTTTTTTTTTTTCAGTATTCTAACCATGACATCTTGTGATGGCAAATTCTCTGGGTCCCATTTACACAAAGCTTTTGTGACAATAACACCTTGTTAGCCCAACTTCTTTTAGACCCTTTGACAGAAAGCTCTTATACATTGTACTTGGTTCTATTGTTACCCAGTATGTTCAGTGGACCACATTATACCATCATTTTGATTTGACCATTTTAATGAGAGTTATGGGACTTAACCATATTTTGACTATTGTATCAAAATGACACATTGTGAAACAAATTTTAATTCCTCATTTATAAAGCACAGGGGACATTTTGCCATGGTATTGCAATCTTGTTTACATTTTTGATACCATTTTCAGTTGAATATTTTGTGCTGTGCCTTCATTGGAAGTTTTCTGATCACTTTAACAATAGATGTATGGATAGAAGCTGGTCTGAAATTTATTATTGTCAACACTTTTAGACATGCTTACATAGATGGTTACTTGGATGTCATAGTAACAGGGCCTTTTCAAATTAAAGGTAAGTATATTGATGTAATTTGCGTAATACTACAATCTTCTTGATTGTTTTAATTAGAACATGGAGGAGATATAGATAAGTGATGCTTCGTTTGTTATATAGAGGCAAAGATATAACTGTTCAAACAGTGTAATTGAAATTTCATTAGTGAACCAACACCTGAAATGGTGATTGTGTGTTTGGGTAAAAACAGTCTAATTGTTAAACCATCTATATTTTCATCAATGAAAATGCAAAATATATAAATACACAACCACGCCAAGTCAGAAAGGGGATGTTAAATCTAATGCCATACGTAGGGAAAGTGCCAGCTATGCTGCATTTTAATTAACATAAAACCTTTCGCAAGAACAATTTAAGGAATCAATAAGTGGCATGTTCCAAAGCAAAATATCTGCCAATTTCAAACGTCACATTTTTTGGTGGCAATCTTAATTCTATGTCCTCCATCTGGTTATTCTCATCTTACATGATTATATATTTGCCACTTAACGTTAGGCAAGAAACCATCCATCATCAGTGAATCAAACATGTCATAGTTTTAGCTATTTATGACAATTTTGGCATCATCAGTGAATCAAACATGTGATAGTTTCAGCTATTTATGACAATTTTAGCAACATCAGTGAATCAAACATGTCATATTTTTAGCCACATTGTATTTATGATATCTTGGTATCATCAGTGAATCAAACATATCATAGTTTTAGCTATGTATGACAATTTTGGCAACATCAGTGAATCAAACATATGAGCCATTTCTTTTCTTTGACATCAAAATATTTCACTGAAATAACCTTTTTAAATTTTTCCTTTTATTTTCTTAGTGTTTTTTTTTTTTAGAAAATAATAAGATGGTATCAACAAACATGACACATATTTTATAAAGCCTTTTGCAGCATAATAGTTAAGGACTATCTCTTTTTATTTTATTACATTTTTAAAAACCATTTCACCATTACACTGAAACTGATAGAATTTGAGTTTGAGTTATTCCTCTTGGTCGCTATTTTGGACGGATGAACGGTTGATTTTCTTGTTTGTGGAACCCAATTAAGGCATGCCATACACACAAGTCTGATGAGAGATCCTTACTTAAATGAAGTAATGGATCAAGCAAGGCTAAAATAAATTAAAATTGTTCTGAAAGCAACTTTTTCTGAAGTATAGCCATCAGTATAACAAGTTGAATTTGGCTGATTTATGAAGGAATTTGTTTACTTAGACCTCCAACATGAAGACAAAAGGGAAACAAAACTCTTGCTTAAATTGTGTCTATCAAAACATATATATATCAGGGCTTCCAAAAAATATTTGAGCCAGCCGGACATTTTATATCTTATCCCGATTTTAATCCCTTAAGACTAAGTCACAAAAGGCAATTATGGTAATCAGATGGCCATCCCAATGATTGACATTAGATTAAAAAAAAAACGATATTAAACTTTACTTTGATGTGAATTTGATGTTCGGACGTAAACTGTTAAATTGGCAGTGCATAATTCGAAGTGTGCACATCAGCGTGCTCATAACTGCCTTAGACTCTTTATTTGTGCAAAATTATGGTGTCAAAAACTTTACTTTCGTTTTTAAAATCACATTTTCCTAATACCGGATGTTGACCTGACAATGGTAAAACATGGACCAGAAACGGATACGTAAAATCCGTGTACGTTTACAAAGCACGACTGAGTGAAGAAGCTCTTTCCACGTTATTTCTTCAACAAAATACTTGAAATGAACGTTAGATACAGGTATCAATGATAATTTTTATCATTTTTTAAGAAATGTAGGATGCATAATTAAATTTCCCTACTGTGCACATGCGCACACGTGTTCTAGTTCATACAACGTAGTTCTTACGATTTTTCATTTAAAACCTTTTAAAATTTTTCATCAAATCATGTTTATAAACGTATTTCTTATAATTTCAATCTTTTGGACTAAATCAATTAGATAGAAACCGCTGATATGTAAGAAATTAACTTTGACTGACCGATCAATTTATACGATGTCCGGTACTGGAAATAGTTTACCTGTCACCTGAACAGGTAGATTTCAGCTGTCCAACAACTAATTAGCCTTGATTAAAAATAGAAAGTATTGAAGTAGGGGTTGTTTTGATAGTAATTAATCATCATGTCACTTTTATGACCGGAAATGTGTGGCTGTTAAAGGCAAAAGGTTGGGTCAAAAAGATCGTGAATTATGCTAAAATGACCGTCTCTTAAGAAAGCCTTGACAACTAAAAAGTAGATGACCGTTTCATGCTTTGCCCAGCTGGGCTTTTACCGGACATTATACAATTGTCCGGAATATATGACCGTTTTGGAAGCCTTGATATATATATATATATATATATATATATGGCCTTAGATGGATTTGGTTTTTGTCTCGCCTTGACAGAGTCAAAAAGCGAGACATAGGTATGCTGTTTCCGGCGTCGGCGGCGGCGTAATCGTCAGCAATGTATTAGTTTGTGATTAGGTCTAGTTGATGGTGAACCACTAGTGGTAGGTCAATGATATTTTGTATGCAGTTGTATTAGCATTGGCACATCTTATTACCATGAAGATTATTTGGCCCCGTCCCCTGAGTCATGGTTTATTGACTTTGAAACTTTGCTTAGTTTACATGTATTAGTTTGTGATTAGGTCAGTTTATGGGGAACCACTAGTGGTAGGTCAATGATATTTGGTATGCAATTGTATAAGCATTGGCATATCTCATTTCCATGAATATTTGCATAACTTACATGTTGAAGTATTGTTATTTTAACGTCAACATTTGCATTATCAAAATAACAAATAGACAAGACATATCTCTGTGTTAACAGTTTATTCTTTTAAGATGAATTTTTTGTCATAGTTCCTCATGTATTCACAGACACAATAATAAATTCTTTGGTTTCAAAGTTTTAGTTGTCAGCATTCCTGATAAAGATAAATCTAGAAAAGCTTTCCAGAAGCACCAAATATAAACTTTGGTTTTCATTTAATTTTTCTTTATGTGATATGATTAATAAACATACTCATGTGGGATTTTTTTATCCTTTAGATATTATCCTTACTTGTGTGTGGATAGTACTGTTTGTCACTGGAGCAGGATTACAATTTTACAGAGAACGGGGCAAACCAGAATTCCCATCCTGTCCTAGGAAGTTACGTAGATTACGTCAACAACATGCACCTAATACCTCAGATCAAGATCACATAGATAGAGATGAGCGTTCACCTTTATTGAGAAATGTCACTGATCCTTATTATTCAACCAGAGAAAGAGATCAATCAGAAACAACCTGATATTGATATGGATTTTAACCATGTGTAAATATTTTACTGATCATGTACTAAGGAAAACAAAGGTTTTGGAGAATAACAAAAATACTGTAATAAACTATTTAAATCTTCTATGTCTGTTGAATGTCTAACTTTATTTATAAAAATGATAATTTATTTAATATATATCTCATTATACAAATGTAATAACTAATTTTTGTGCAATTTTTGTAGAATATCTAAAATATCATAATCATGGTATACTTATTACGCTTATATTTATGTATTTATGTATATTATGTACATATGTTTTCATATTTTTTTTTTATTTTTTTTCTCTTCAACACCTTAAGAAGAACTTTTCAATGATGCATATGCGTTTCTTAAGCTAATGTACTTCACTTACATGTATATATAATATATACAGTACTATGTTATGATTGTCAAGAAATTTGTCTGCGGAATGGTGCTTGTAAAGAACAATATTTTTATTTTATATATAAATAATCTATTATTTGACTAAAATATGGTTATAAGTGACATAACATTTCAAAAGTTATCTGGAATCTGATTTTTAGCTCACCTGACCTGAAATGTCAAGTGAGCTTTTCTCATCACTTTGCGTCCGTCGTCCGTAAACTTTTACAAAAATCTTCTCCTCTGAAACTACAGGGCCAAATTTGACCAAACTTGGCCACAATCATCATTGGGGTATCTAGTTTAAAAAATGTGTCCGATGACCGAGCCAACCAACCAAGATGGCTGCCATGGCTAAAAATAGAACATAGGGGTAAAATGTAGATTTTGGCTTATATCTCTGAAACCAAAGCATTTAGAGCAAATCTGACAAAAAGAATTGTTTATCAGGTCAAGATCTATCTGCCCTGAAATTTTCAGATGAATCGGACAACCCGTTGTTGGGTTGCTGCCCCTGAATTGGTAATTTTAAGGAAATTTTGCCGTTTATGGTTATTATCTGGAATATTATTATAGATAGAGATAAACTGTAAACAGCAATAATGTTCAGCAAAGTATGATCTACAAATAAGTCAACTTGACCAAAATGGTCAGTTGACCCCTTAAGGAGTTATTGCCCTTTATAGTCAATTTTTAACCATTTTTCGTAAATTTTTGTAATCTTTTACAAAAATCTTCTCCTCTGAAACTACTAAGACAAATTTAACCAAAATTGTCCACAATCATCATTAGGGTATCTTGTTTAAAAAATGTGTCCGATGACCCTGCCCGCAAACCAAGATGGCCGACATGGCAAAAAAATAATACATAGGGTAAAATGCAGTTTTTGGCTCATATCTCTGAAACCAAAGCATTTAGAGCAAATCTGATGGTATAAAATTGTTCATTAGGTCAAGATCTATCTGCCCTGAAATTTTCAGACCAATCAGGCAATATGTTGTTGGGTTGCTGCCCCTGAATTGGTAATTTTAAGAAAATTTTGCAGCTTTTGGTTATTATCTTGAATATTATTATAGATAGAGATAAACTGTAAACAGCAATAATGTACAGCAAAGTTAGATCTACAAATAAGTCAACATGACCAAAATTGTCAATTGACCCCTTAAGGAGTTATTGCCCTTTATAGTCAATTTTTTACAATTTTCATAAATTTTGTAAATTTTTGTAAATTTTTACAAAATATTTTCCACTGTAACTACTGGGCCAAGTTCATTATAGATAGAGATAATAGTAAGGAGCAAGAATGTTCAGTAAAGTAAGATCTACAAACACATCACCATCACCAAAACACAATTTTGTCATGAATCCATCTGTGTCCATTGTTTAATATGCACATAGACCAAGGTGAGCGACACAGGCTCTTTAGAGCCTCTAGTTTTTTGTTGCCTTTTGTGTAAACATGCTTGGCCTCAGAGTGTGATTCAACATTTCAGAATCTACAAGTAGGGATAGTTTCTGTCATTTCTTTTATCTGTTGGCCATAATCATTTTATTAACTTTGGAACTTCCACTTAGAAATAAATCACAAACATCCTGCAGGAGAGTTTTTTTGGATTGTTCTTAAAGACATTATGCTCATATAATTTCTGTTTACAGTTAAACTTAAATCTGTTAAAATTTTGAAAACTATTATAAATTCTAATGCAATTATGTTGTATCAATGGTTCTGATTGGATGATAATAATGTAAAATTCTCTATCTTTCTGTCTGTAACTAAGGAAGCCAACATTTTGAATTCTGGAATGTATTGACATGTATTTTCTCCAATAATAAGCAAAAAACTCACATTTTTCACCTAGAAATCTTCTTTTTATCAAATTAAATTACATTTTGAAGCGGACAATAAGCCATAAAAACGACAGGTGTTTACGTTTGATGCCTGAAGCATACATATGACGTCACCTAGCTATAGAGCCAAAGAAGATAACATCATTTCGCAGAATTTTCTTTTAATGAAAATTTTACACTGAAATAACGACTAAAACTGAATGATTTGTTTATTTTGCATTAGAATAGAGATAACTGTATTGTATTTGAAGCTTTGCGGACGTCCATCGGTAGTTTTACTGTCGCAAATATCCGTTTATCTGTCTACGCGTCGCCAGGTAAACTAAATTTGCGACAGTAAAACTACAGATGGACGTCCGCAAAGCTTCAAATACACTACAGTTATCTCTTAATTTAGGTTAATCGTGGTTAAAAGTTATGTTTGTTTAAAGCTTTATAATAATTTGTCAAAAATTCAACTTTTGAAGTTTTGGATTCTATTAATAAAGATATGAAATTCAATGTAGTTATTTTGGGCATTAAAAATGTTCATATTCATTAGTCAATACTTATTGATAACCAGAACTAAGGGACATAACTACTCTAAATAAAATCACTGGTACATTTTGTTTTACCATTTCAATGAAAATAGTCTAAGCTTTTATATAATACAGCTTATTTCAAATCTTTATCACATGAATGTCTGCCACAAACAAATTATTGTCTCAATGAATTATTTCCATTGAAATGGTTCTATCCCTTTTAAAGTGCAAAAAAAAAAAAAATAATATAAAAACATTTCAAAGTGTATGGAGACATACAGAACTTTTTTCCTAGAAATATTGATTCACAGTTTATAATTTATTTGTGATTATAGACTTTTCTATTTGTTTGTAAGTGAATTCGTCCCCTTTTTACAACAATAAATTCCTTTAAAAAGGTGTTCAATCCTTATAATTCTTTAAAATTGGAGATAAGAAAATAATTTCCTAACTCCTCACCTCAATCACAAGTAAATTGTATATTTGTGGCATTGAATTGGCCTGGTGCATGCATATATTTTTTGTTTAACGCAACTTGAAAAATGTTCTCCATGAAATATGCTACTTGATAAAAAAAAATACTACAAAAATATCTAATTATTCATTAAAATGAATGTTTTATGTTTATTATTTAATTTAACAATGCACACGAAGTGAAAATAAATATATTTAACGTCGGGCCGGTTTGTGTCATTATCGCCGCCATCTTTTTTACCTTGGTTACAAAAAAGGAGTTCCGTCGACGTCCTCTATCGAAAAACAAATAACTTCAAGAGCCACTACCGTAAGCCCTCTTGACCCATCATATAAACATATTCCCAAATATGCAAATCATATAAGAATTATATATATGTAAACAACATTACGTTTTAAATTAAAGAAAAAATGTATTGGCAGAGATGTTGCTTTAAGTTTATTGATGTCTTTAGCAATCTACATGATCTAATCATGTGTTTAAATGTGGTGAATGTAAAATGTGTTGAGATTCTCTTTGTGTATTATTTAACATTTTTTACTTATCTTCTTTTAAACTATATGATATCATGATTTTAAAAAATGGTAAAATAACAAAAAACCTCTCCACACTTCGAATATCCACATGCTTAAAAACAGTTGGATGTAGGATGTGTAATGATTGATAATTTAGTCTTACATACATGATTTTTGTTGAGCCTGAGACTCCTGTCGCAGAAACCTTGACATAGGGATATTGATCTAATGGCAGCAACGGCACGGCGATTGGGATGACGTCGTTTACTTACTATTTAAATCCTTCATATTGCAGAAGGTAGAAGACCTGGATGCTTCATACTTTGTATATAGATGCCTTATGTTATGAAGTTTCCATCTGTTATATGTCCTTTGTCCTTGACCTCATTTTCATGGTTCAGTTACTACTTGATAAAAAAGATTTTAAAGATTTTTTGTAATGTCAATTTCTCTCTTATTATGAGTAATAGGATAACTATTATTTAGTATGTGCGTACCTTGCAAGATCCCCATGCCTGTCAGCTAGTTTTCATCTGACCTCAACCTCATTTCATGGATCAGTGAACAAGATTAAGTTTTCATGGTCAAGTCCAAATATCAGATACTTTAAGCAATAGGTCTACTATATTTGTTGTATGAAATGATTTTAAGGTGTCCAACTGGCAGGTGTCATCTGACCTTGACCTCATTTTCATTGTTTAGTGGTTAAAATTATGTTTTTGTGTTTTGGTCTGTTTTTCTGGTCAACTATATTTGGTGTATGGAAATAATTTACGATGTACATTTCAGACTGACAGGTTTTATATGACCTTGACCTTATTTTCATATTTCATTGCTCACTGTTAAGTTTTTGTATTTTGTTCGATTTTGCTTATACTATAAGAAATAGGTAAACTATGTTTGGTGTATGGAATGATTGAAAGGTGTATATGTCTGTCTGGCAGGTATCATCTGACCTTTACCTCATTTTCATGATACATTGTTCAATGTAAAGTTTTCATGGTTAAGTTTGTTTCTTAGAAACTATAAGCAATAGGTAAACTGTATTAAATGCATAGATTGCCTGTAAGGTCTACATGTCTGTCAGGCATGGTTCATCTGACCTTGACCTCATTTTCATGGTTCATTGGTCAATTTTAAATTTTTCCTGGTTAAGTTTGTTTCTTAGAAACTATAAGCAATAGGTCAACTATATTTGGTGTATGGAATGATTGTAAGGTGTACATGTATTTCCAGTTTGGTTTATCTGACCTTGACCTAATTTTCTTTGATAATGTTAAGTTTATGTGATACTTGTAGTAAAGCTTTATATTTAGGACTATCAACATAAAATCAATAGTCAGTAAAGCAGGCAAGACATTTCAGCGTGTACACTCTTGTTTTTATTAGTTGTAATTGGCTTTGAACAAGCTGTTAGTAAGCTGCGAGTACTCTTAATCTGTACTTAATGTCTTTTTTGTTGTTAGGGATGAGGGATGGATAAAAACCCTGCCAAGTCTGGGCTGTGGTTTTTGTCTCGCCTTGACGGAGTCAAAAAGCGAGACTTAGGTATGCTGTTTCCCTTGTCGGCGTCGGTGTTAACAATGTATTAGTTTGTGATTAGGTCAGTTTAGGGGGAACCACTAGTGGTAGGTCAATGATATTTGGTATGTAGTTGTATAATCATTGGCATATCTCATTTCCATGGAGATTATTTGGCCACGCTCCTTAGTCATGGTCTATTGACTTTGAAACTTTTGCTTAGTTTACATGTATTAGTTTGTGATTAGGTCAGTTTAAGGGGAATCATTAGTGGTAAGTCAATGATATTTGGTATGCAGTTGTGTAAGCATTAGCACATCTCATTTCCATGGAGACCCATGGAGAAAATTTGGCTCCGCCCCCTTAGTCATGGTCTATTGACTTTGAAAATTTTGCTTAGTTTACATATTAGTTTGTGATTAGGTCATTTCAAGGGGAACCATTAGTGGTAGGCCAATGTTAATTGGTATTCAGTTGTATAAGCATTAGCACATCTCATTTCCATGGAGAACAATGTATTAGTTTGTGATTAGGTCAGTTTAGGGGGAACCACTAGTGGTAGGTCAATGATATTTGGTATGTAGTTGTATAATCATTGGCATATCTCATTTCAATGGAGATTATTTGGCCACGCTCCTTAGTCATGGTCTATTGACTTTGAAACTTTTGCTTAGTTTACATGTATTAGTTTGTGATTAGGTCAGTTTAAGGGGAATCATTAGTGGTAAGTTAATGATATTTGGTATGCAGTTGTGTAAGCATTAGCACATCTCATTTCCATGGAGACCCATGGAGAAAATTTGGCTCCGCCCCCTTAGTCATGGTCTATTGACTTTGAAAATTTTGCTTAGTTTACATGTGTTAGTTTGTGATTAGATCAGTTTAAGATGAACTGCTATTGTTAAGTCAATGATATTTGGTATGCAAATTTATTGGCATTTGCAAGTATCGTTTCCATGGAGATTATATAGCACCACACCCTCATCATGGTTCATTGACTTTGAAACATTTACATAGTTTACAAGTTAATGTATGTGTTTAGGCTTGTTTAAAGGGCTTGACTTAATTAGTCAATGGTATTTGGTATGCAGTTGTATTAGCATTGGCACATCTCATTTCAATGGAGATTGTTTAGTCATGTACCTTCAATCATGGTTCATTGACTTTGAATATTTGCATAACTTACATGTTAAAGTATTGCTATTTTAATTTCAACATTTGCACTATCAAAATTACAAAAAGGCGAGACATATCTCTGTGATAACAGTTTTGTTAAATATTTTTCTGCTTTGTATCAAGCCATTTTCAACCGATTTTTAAGGTTTTTTCTTATGTTGTGCTGTAAAACCACTGTCTTAGGTTAGGGGGAGGGTTGATCGCTCACAAACATGTTTAACCCCACCACATTCTTTATGTGCCTGTCCCAAGTCAGGAGCCTGTAGTTCAGTGGTTTTCTCAATTGAATTGTTTCAAATCTTTCATGTGGGGCCTTTTATAACCATCTATACAGTATAGGTTTTTCTCATTGTTGAAGGCCGTACAGTTGCCTATTATTGCTTACATCCATTTCATTTGAACTTTGGTGGATAGTTGTCTCATTGGCAATCATACCACATCTCATTGTTTTTTATAATATTAGTAATCAGTTTTTCTTTTGTAAAATTGCAACACTTTGACATTTTCTATGTTGACTGAAGGTTCCAATCTTGTATTACAACTCCAGTTTCCCCTGCATGTCAAAACATGGAGTGAAATAAAAATAATAAAATAGTCCATTTTTTTTCAGAACTCAATTTTTCCTGTTTGATTAAAAGTTTATGCTGAATTATGTACGAAATACCTAAGGTGACTGTGTAACATATTTAAATTTTCTGTTTGACTGTAATATATTGTCTCGCCTTGACGGAGTCAAAAAGCGAGACATAGGTATGCTGTTTCCGGCGACAGCGGCGTCAACAATGTATTAGTTTTTGATTAGGTCTAGTTCATGGTGAACCACTAGTGGTAGGTCAATGATATTTGGTATGCAGTTGTATTAGCATTTGCACATCTCATTACCATGGAGATTATTTGGCCCTGCCCCCTCAGTCAAGGTCTATTGACTTTGAAACTTTTTATAGTTTACATGTATTAGTTTGTGATTAGGTCAATTTATGGGGAACCACTAGTGGTAGGTCAATGATATTTGGTATGCAGTTGTATAAGCATTGACATATCTCATTTCCATGGAGATTATTTGGCTAACCCCCTTAGTCATGGTCTATAGACTTTGAAAATTTTGCTAAGTTAACATGTATAAGTTTGTGATTAGGTCAGTTCAAGGGGAACCATTAGTGGTAGGCCAATCTTAATTGGTGGTCAGTTGTATAAGCATTAGCACATCTCATTTCCATGGAGAATGTTTGGCCCCGCCCCCTCAGTCATGGTCTATTTACTTTGAAACTTTTGCTTAGTTTACATGTATTAGTTTGTGATTAGATCAGTTTAAGATGAACTGCTAATGTTAAGTTAATGATATTTGGTATGCAAATTTATTGGCATTTACAAGTATCGTTTCCATGGAGATTATATAGCCCCACCCCTGATCATGGTTCATTGACTTTGAAACTTTTACATAGTTTACAAGTTAATGTTTGTGTTTAGGTTTGTTTAAAGGGAACGACTTATAATAAGTCAATAGTATTTTGTATGCAGTTGTATTAGCATTGTCACATCTCATTCCATGGAGATTGTTTAGCCATGTACCTTCAGTCATGGTTCATCGACTTTGAATATTTGCATAACTTACATGTTAAAGTATTGCTATTTTAATTTCAACATTTGCATTATCAAAATTACAAAAAGGCGAGACATATCTCTGTAATAACAGTTTATGTTGAATATGTCTTTGGGGATTGTTGAATGTGTCGAAATTTTCGTTTCGACTGTTCTATATTTCTATATGTTGAATATGTCTTTGGTGACTGTTCAACATGTTGTGATTCTCTTTGGTGACTCTGTACTGTGATTATCTGTGCCTACTAGTATTGTTCAAATAGTTTTGATTCTATTGGGTGACAGAAGTAATTTTGTATACTATGTGAATGAAATTATACATTCATCTGCATTCAAGGCTGTGTGCTTCACAGAGAGTCAAATAGTAAATAATAATGTCAGTACCGCAGCTGACATTTAGCATGTTAAGGGCTCTTCTAAAAATTTAAAAGTACCTGCTATGTATTAGCTTACTAAACTACATAAAATCCCGTTCAAATTTCGTTTTATCTCATTTTAAAGTAAGTAAGCCTTATCTTTCTGAAGTGTAAACTAGTTCTCTTACAGTAACTTCGATTAAGGAACTAGTTATTTGTTTTATAATATTTGTAATAATATATATGAAAATGATGG